GGAGCTGGGGTGTGGAATGTGGTCATTGAGTCCTGAAGAATGCGTTTCTGCGGATGAAGAGGGGGATTTGGAGTTCTTGTCTGGGTTTGGAGTCATCATAATAGAGGAGGGATTTGTCTCGAGTTATTGCTAGAAAGGTTGGGGTCGGGGAGTAGAGAGATGGTAGTGGTGATATGAGTAGTTTACTATGCACATTCTAGCGAGATATTCAGTTTTGGGGAGATCTTCGATGTAGATGGATATTGATGATCTTGGAGATTGTAAAATTCTTGGATGTTAGGTTTGTCCGGTCGGATATCTTTCTGTCATCGTGTGCGATCGAGGTATGTCTTTTGGGTTCATTTGAATGGTGAGGCCTCTTTAGTCTGATAGTTTAGATTGGTATGAGTATGGTAATTGCTTGCGCCGGAAGGGTTGAGCTCCTTCTAATTCACTTGGATGGGCTGTTTGAGTCATATTACATCATCGCTCTGTCAATTTGTTCTTGATAATCTCCCAAGAATGACGCATGTTTTCTCATTTAACCTAAACAAGTTCAAACTCTAGCTCCAAGGCTTCTATCAGAAACATGCAATTAGCAGACAGCATCTATCATTGCTTCTTGATGTCTTGCGTTATTGCCAATTCACTAAAGCCAACTCGCTTAATTTCTTCCATCTCGCCAATTCACTTTGCGAGAATGGTTCATGCGTCTGTTGGCACGCACAATGATGCCTCCATCCTTTAAACATATCATGCCATTTAACAGTTATCAAACACATTTTTTAAAATCATGTGTATACTACTATTGTGGCTAATAAAATGAACTCGATTTATGGGTATTTGTGTAGATCCAGAAAGATAGTCGATTCTGATTTTGTTTTACTCCATCAATAGATTCATGTAGAGCTTTGGCATTCCTAGATTCAGTGGCGTTTTAAGACACTTCACACTTCACACTTCACACTTCAAGCCTAAAGCTTATGCAATAACTCCTTCTGAAGCTATGACCGTGATACATCGAAGCTACGCTGATAAAAGGGAGGCTTCTGATATCACATGAGCAGCATTGAGTCCTGAAGAGCATACCATCCTACCAACCTCTGTTTACTTGTTTGGTCGAGAAAGTGACAGTCAATAATTGAGAAGTTATAGTTTTAATGCAAGCTGTCACTAGGAATGCGTCTATTCAATCGGCAAAATTGCGGAGGCGATTTAGTGAAATCTTCTTGATTTGATTTGACATGTAATGGTTAAACAGTGAGCTTCTGGATGTATTTGGTATAGCCTCACCGCATTCTATAACAGATATTGCAAGAGGCGTTCGTATGAAAGGTGGGCTATTGAGTGACACAGTCTTGGGAAATCGAATCGATAGACCAGACTAGCTGACAAGCGTCCAGACTCGTTCTTTTCATTTCACTCAAATCACATCCGGTTATCTATGTAAGAGAATCTACCCCTTTGACTAACCCTTATTTATTAACAGCATTGAATCGATAAAAGCCAATTATCCTAGTTTGGTTAAAGGAGTGAGAAGGGATCAAAGGGGAGGGCAGATGGAGCCACCTTAATAAAAGGAATGGCGAGATTATGCTAATATGGCTGGGAGCATATCCTAGAAAGATCGAAATTCATTCTGAATATTAGCTTTTCTTCTCACCGCTCCATTGAGGCTTTCGGCAGCGGAAAAAGAACGCTACAGGAGTGCAGCCTGAACGGCAAGTTTCATCTGATAAAAGGAATCGAGCTGATAATGTTGGGTGTTCAACCAATATACATTATATTGTCGAGCGTATAATACACACGATATCTTATGGTCATTTAGCTAGATACTTGTGAGCAGCCAGCCGCCAACCATAAAAATATGAACTGTCCTAATCCGTTATCCCCTTACTCAACGATACCCGATTTAGTAATAGCAACACGAGCTCTTGGAGTACCAGAACGAGTACCAAGTGCTTCAATTTTCTTCACAAGATCCATACCCTCGATTACCTCACCAAACACTACGTGTTTACCATTCAACCAAGGCGTGGCTATTGTGGTAATGAAAAATTGAGAGCCATTTCTATTGAAAGTCAGTTTTTCATCTGACTCATGGATATCAAGAACGGATATCAGAAACGAAACCTACGTGTTTCTCCCTGCATTAGCCATACTCAATTGACCAGGCTTCGTGTGCTTAAGCTCGAAATTTTCGTCCGCAAACGTTCTACCATAAATGGATTTCCCACCAGTTCCCTGAGGTTTAATCAGCAGTTTCCCAGAGAGGATGTATGTGAGTAAATGACCTACGTTTCCTCTAGTGAAATCCCCACCTTGTAACATAAATTGTGGAATGATACGATGGAAAGAACTTCCAGCATATCCAAATCCATGTTGACCGGTACACAATTCACGGAAATTGCGTGCAGTTCGGGGAGTAATCTTATCATAAAGCTTGAAGGTGATGCGACCCGCGGGAGCTTGGAGTTATATCAGCAAAGGATGAGCCCACCAACGAGCGTAAGACCCCACCAGAATCAACAGTTATATCAAAGAAGCAGTTCTTGCTCGAATCTTCCCCATCTCCGGGCTTGACCAAAGGAGCTACGGGATCTGAAGTCGAAGATTGGATGAATGGGAACGAAGAAGTGATTGAGAAGAATGAAGGTGTTAAGAGATTATAGAGCGAAGAGTTGTTTCCCTCAGACGATAGAATTGGTGATGGGTAGGCATACTTCTGAGAAGGCGTGGAAAATGGTGGTGCCATATATCTTGGTTTTGTGTCATTATGAAGCCATTGGAAGGCAGAAGTCGTTGAGAACATCTTTTAATTGGGAAAGAAAGTAAGACCAAGTCAATTGAAGTTGTTGGAGATTGTATCAACCAGAACTCAATTATCAGCAAATACTCGTCGATACTGCCGAATTATCAAACTTAAGTGACACACGTGATGACGTGAGACCCCGTGGTTTAGCCGGTCATCTGTAATCATTTCAACAATCTGTCTATTGGTCGCACAGCTTGATTGAAACACAAGAGGCACATCGACGCCAACAGCTTGGTATTTATGACTTAATGTGACTTAATTTGATTGACAATCTAGATTAAAACAGACCAGAATCATGCTACCGTCTTCAATATATGCTAACGCCTAGTTCTCTTCCGAAATACAGTTTGTCCCTTCACAAACTTTCTACTCTGAGGTCTCCACATAAGCCAGATGCGATATGGTCCTGGCACGATAACTTCCTTCAATTTTGCGAGTTGTTCTTCGTCAAAATTTGTAGGGGTGGTATTCCAAGGCAAGAGCGAAGGGCGAATAATGACGAAAGCATATGCTTTGTAAGATTACAATTCACGTCCGTCACTGGTTGACTCGACGAATACCTCAAGTCCATTTCTATGAACTTGCAGCCCCATGCATCATCAAACTACCTGTGCCTTTACGACGATACTTTGGATCCACAAAGCAGTAAATCAGAATCGAGATTAGGCAATCAAATCAGGAGCTATTCAATAAGAATTGTAGTGCATTTCATATTGATAACAAAGAGAAGCAGATATTCCCTCCGCAAGTGTGGACGGCTCATGACCGAAGGATGACCTCCAAAAATATCCCAAGTGGATGGTCAGAAATAGTCTTCAGTGGGTCTATTTCCATGCATAGTTTGAGTCAGGATTCGTAAGATTTTATGGTTCCATTAGAAAGAATGCATTACATCTTCTGGTCACCAAGTCATTGTGATAACAGGCTCCAGCGTTGCAAATGGATTTTCAGTGTGAACTATCTACTCAGTATATAGAAGAGAGACACGTAACTCGTTTCTCCCAGTTGACGGGGAACCCGATGCAAGAAAAACTACTGGCTGGCTTGTCTCTTTCTTTGACCGTGAGCCAGGGCTGTTTGGATTGCTTGCGTGCCAACGCCATTCTCTTTCAGCACACTCCTCGATGCCGGAATCTTTGAGAACTTCCAAAAGGATGTTAAATGGTGCCCAGAACGAGGGTACTGATTCCCGTACAAAACTTGCGACGACAAGTGTCACGAACTCAAAAGAGTTTCCGGCGCTGATCGAGCAAATAGACAACGCTAAGGCCAGTGTCTCACCCGACGATCGAGACGGTGATGATGTGGTGTCAGTGATGAAATATTACCACGAGGCAAGTTTGTATCAGGCGTTCATTGAATAAATTGGTATCGAACAACAAGCATGGGTTTTACGAATTAGCATCGAATAGTTGATGTTGAATGTGTTAGCTGACATTGGAGAACCAAGACAGATTGTGCGAACCGGGCTTGAACTAAGATGACATGCAATTTGAAGCAAAATATTGAGCCCACTAGTTTGAGAGCTTGAAAGAGTCAGATATCTTTTAGTTAAAAAAGTGATAGACAAATTTTCAGGAGGGAACGTCGATCCCCTCTTCTAGATCAGTAGGGCATTTCATCGGGTCAGAAACTGATCCGTGAACGGTGGGCCTCTGCATCGTTTTGATCACATCAAAGTCGATGGTATTATTGCTTTTCTCTGTCAAACCTGCTATCAACTGTGATTGTAGTAAGTCGTGTGCATTGAACGCAACGGTCCTTGCAACCCTTTCCTAAGACACTGTTCCACAAGCCAACGGAAAAAAATTCTCAATGCATCAGAATGAACCACCTTGCAAATCATATGCGTTCCGTACGACTCGCCTGGCAAGAAATTCCAAATCGCATTATCACATAAGGAAGTATGATTGACTGAGAACTTCCTTGATCTCACTGATATTGCTTGTAGGTATCATCCCTACCGGTTCTTCACATGTGAAACCCTAAACCGCGGCAGACAAGGATACTTCCCCAGATTACCCCGCAGACATGTGTTCCTGCAGCATGCTTAGCATGTTAATTCTCTATGATATCCGTCCGAAGATAAAATTAAGCTCGCAATGCTTTTTTGCCGAACGGACTTTGCAGGGAATTGGCTGCGGGTGACTAGTCATTGATCCAGTTCATTTGTGCTTCCCCCTCATCACATCATTACTCTTTATGATGAGCACCCGAGAGCGAATATTGAAGGATATTGATGCGTCGAAAGGGCCTAAGAAACTGCAGATATTTGTTGTCTGGTTGCTTGCCGATCGAAATCCACTGTGAGAGTGAGAGGTAACAATCGATTTATCCGATGTGGAATATATAATGCGGATACGCACAGATGTGTAAGATTGTATAAATTTTTCTGAAAGCTTTCCTCATCATCATCTATCTGACTATAATTATTCATACTTACGCCCAAACTTTCATTTCGAAATGCGTTTTACTATCCTCCCTGTGTTCTTCCTCGCCTCCAAAGTCCTTTGCGATGGCCAAGCAATCGTAGATGCCATTTCAGAAATTTCAAATACAACCACCTCTCTCAACCAAACTGTCTCTAGTGTATGTCTCCCATTCTTTCACACACTTACCACCATGATATCCCGTTGATTCATTCAACTGACTTCGTCCGCCTCTCTCCCCAGTGGTCCGGCAGCCTTCTAACCTCTTTCCCCATCGTCACCCTTTCTGCCAAACTTCTCATCGACATTAACACCGGGACCTGGGTCGCTTCCTCCTCCGCAAACCTCACCCTGATCGAAACCATCACCATCGCCACCGCGACGCAAAATCTCGTCACAGTTGTAGAGGGAACTCTCGAGACGATTGAATCTGCTAAACCGAAATTCGACAAGCTACTTTTCAGTCCGCTTATCCTGTTGAATCTGGTGGAGGAGAAGAGTGCGACGGATAGTTTCAGTGCGAAAATCATTGAGAAGATTCCCGCAGCTTTTCAAGAAACAGCGAGGTTTGTTGGATTTTTTAATACATTATTGACCTCATATCTGTCTAGAAAATTTGAGAACTGATTCTTAATAGAACTATCGTAGCGCCTGTTGATACGGCGTTTGATGCTGCTATTGCGCATTATAAGTTATTGTGAGAGGAATGAATAACGACGGAAGATATAGTGATTGTTGGATTGACAAAGGGAAGTTGAAGGCGATCAAGGGACTGGGGAGAGGCTAGAGGGGTTTAGCGGTATTTGTAAGTTTCTTGAGTCAAGCAAAAATTCGATGATGAATAGTGGGATGCGATCGAGAGCCTACGAGCGTCTCGATGAGGAAACTGCATACAAATTATAATGAACACAGTTTCTGACAAAACGGGAATTCATCACAAATTACTTCCGAAACCCCTTCATGGAGAGGTGAGAGTAACCATGCCTTTAGAGCCGAAATTCATCTTAGGTGAAAAAACTTAGTATTAACGACATTGATACGCGAGGGATCATTTCTTGCATATGCCCAATGAAGGCATTGTGTATGCATTTGTTGATTTAAATCTCCTAGGCTGAATATCATCTCTCCATCCCTCTCATCCATATTGCGTTAAGACGTACTAGCCACCATAACCAACACAAATGTGCACAGAAGACTCTTGTCCAGCACTTGCAGGGCCTTAGCTTCTAGAGTTTCATAATTATTTCTATAGAATCTGATATCCATGCTTGATCAATGCACTCAATCATATTCCAATAATATTAACATTATCTCGTACATTAAACCGATGGCCAATTTTTCCTTCACCGTAGATCGTCCCGGAATTTCCCACATCCAATTCTCGGGGTTCAACCAGCTCTTCTACGTCTCCCAATCCTAGTCCCAGTCCCATATCCGTTTCTCTCGTCTTCCGTCTGTCGTTCCGCTCATCTATCCCATTCCCACCTTTCACATTCCTCTCAACAAAATATGCATCCATCTCCACTGGCTCTGCATTAACACTCACATGTTTCTTCTTCACCAAATCAACATACGATCTCGTTGCAGCCTCTGACTCAGTAGGTAAGCCGGGTTCAAACTGACGTTCTCCATCCCAAGAATCATTATCATCTGCGATTTCTTTCGTAGTGAGTTGTCTCTTTGTCCGAGGCGTAGATGCTAGATAGCGGCGACGTCGGATGAGTATGAAGGCAATGACCATGATGAGTGTTACGCCGAGGATTATACTGACGGAGATACTGATTTTTATGGTGTATGTGAGGGAATTGGAGGGATCGGATGCGGGCTGAGTGCTCATTGGTGAAGTCAAAGCTGAAGCTGCTTCCACGATTGCTGCGGTGGGACTAGCAGGGAGTGGAGTGGTTGAGCTTGCGCCGGTTGAGCTAGTCTGACCGTTGTTTGCGCTACTTGTATTGGTAGAAGAGCCAGCAGGCATTTGACCGAGCGTGAATGTCGGGCTGTCTACTTCAGGCTGAGTATTATCCGAAGGAACCCAAAATATCTTATAAACTCCAGCTTGAAGTGATTTGTCCGGAGTCCAAGTTAATGAATTTCCCGATGTTGCAACTACCATTTATACCGTCAGTCTCGTATAATATTTGAGCAATATCTGGTTTGTAACACACCTCCTATGGATACCGCGCTGGCTAGCGAAACACTTTCATTATAATATTGAATGGGTGCTAGATGAAGAGTAACGGAGCCGGTTGAATTAACCCAAGTGATCGTAAACTGCTGTCCTAATACTGGGTTAAAGGCCGTGTTTGTGAATTGAAATGAACGAACTAGGCTTGCAAATGCAAGCAAGATTAATTGCAAAGAAACAATGTGAAATACCCGCATAGCGAATGCTACACGGAAAAGAGATGGGAAAACCAAAGAGTGACGACGACAAAACCTGGAGAATACTAGACTTAACTTGAGGTTGCTATATTTATTTATGTGCTTGAGATCCTTTGCGGCAAGACCAAGTCAGTGTAGTATTCTAGAGCCATTTCTGGCGGTGCATGGCATGACAATCCTTTACAATCATGGCTAATCACGACACAATGGATTTATCGCATGTACTTTGCGAATCATTCAATTGTTGCGAAAGAACGGTGGTATAAGATACATCAAAATTGGGTAGGAATGAGCGGTTGAGGCCACAGAAGGAACACGAGAAATTAATGGAGTGAGATTGGCAGGCTACGCAACTCGTTTAATCCTCTATTTCATCTCGTTACTGCAATATGCTGACGTAAATAGAACACTTGTGGGTGCATAAGGCTAGAATGTAAGACGCATGAATTGAAGGGATTTCAGTTGTAAAAATTGTCAAGTTCAATGGTACCAACAAATAAGACATGAGCTCCACCCTAATTACTATGAGTCTGAACCTCTCGAATGAGCTTTTGGTGAAATCTACAGAATTGAATTCACACATTACTACAGATCAGAACCAACTACTATGTCATCAGACATATGGCTAATGAAACCATAGAAGAACGATAAGAATCACTAAATGGCGAAAGGTTCATTATTAACAGATTAAACGGGTCAAGAGGAGTGAGGAGTAAGATGAGGATTTGTTCCTACCCGTGTGAGCCGGATCACGTGGAAGCTACTTGAAGTGGCTGACAGCTAGTTCAATAACCTGCAATAGTTTCAAATGAACTCAAGCATTCAAACCCCATTCCCTTAAGTTGACTGGTATAATTGTTTCCCATTACTTGAAGTCCATTTGGAGAATCAAACCCTATTGTCTAAATTCTACTTGGACATCCATCAATCCCGTCACCGATTTGTATCACGTGATCAGTTAAATTGAAAAGATAATCAAAGTAGGAGCGCCAGATGGAATTATTCTCTCAAAAGGCAAAATAAGCGTTAACTTTGGTTCTTACTACCTCAAATATTGAGGAGAAGCCTTTGTGGATTGATTTCTGACATTTCATTGATACGACGTCAAATTGGCTGCTTGATCCACATCTGGTAGCTGCTAACAAATATCACCTTTCAGTAGACTTGCAAACACAGCTTGTGCTATCGCAAGAGCGATAGAAGATATTAGATAGCCCGCAATGAGTAAAACACCATGGCCTATGCATACATAGCTTGGCGGTAATGCAAATTCGGCTGCCAGTAGAGAACGTGGACTTCCAAGTTTCGTACCAGCTAGCGAGAATCTCGGGGTCTATCCGTTTCTTTGAAGTTGTGAGATGCAATATCGTGAGAATACCTCTTACGATTGCCAGAAGCATAGCGCCTACAAGCATGTATCGATGAAATAACGAAGCTTCCTTGTTAATACTGCCCCGATAATTCTTACTAAGAAACAAGATGCAAGCAGCGGAATAATCCAATATCCGGATTTGAAAGGTGATTTTACACCAATCAAGAGTAAAAATATCGCAGCGATAATATATCAATGCGGCAAAATTCAGACTACAGTGTCCGTGAAGACTTCTATCGTCTGGCGGTGGTTGCGGCGCAGTCGTAACGTTGGTGGTGTTGGAAGCTTACATATTGATAAGCTCGGTCTGGTTCGGCTGGGTGCCGCTCTGTCAAGAACCCCAGAGAAAGTAAGAATAGAAGGACTCGTTCAGAATTGTATCACTAAGCTGCTGGCTAAGCTTCTGCAACCTTCATCGGTCCCAACTCTTCGGTACCTGCCAAGTCTATCTTCTACATAGATCTAACGCACATGTAATTATCCTTGAGATTCGTTATCTTGGCAGTCTTTGATGCTTATAGGCGATTCTATACGGAGGCTGGGGGAGGGCTCCAATCTTCCAACAACTTCCCGGAGTATCACACAAACTTAAGTGACTCCACGTTGTATATATCATTTGCTGTGCCATCTGTGCTTCTCTTATCCGTCGTATTCTGAGTTCAGCTTTATAAAGCAAATGATTTATATAATCTCGCAACCGAAGACGATATCGCAAGAGGCTTTAGAATCATGAACTTCAGATTGCCTATACTATCTCAAGATATACCCGGCGCATCATACTCAAACATCATGAATCAAGCGTCTCCAACATTTGAACTTGCGCCGGCGACTCGTGCAGATATACCCCGACTCGCTTACGTTCACGTCGTTGCTTGTCTCCCCGACAATGCTTTTGCCTTGTACTTCGACAATCCAAAAGAATTCGAGCAAAGAGTGACGGAGATGCTCGAAGGTCAAATCGGTGACCCAAACTGGCAGCATATCAAAGTAGTCGACAAGGATACGGGCGAGATTACTGCTTGGGCCTCATGGAATACTCCAGCCCATGTGGAAATCAGAGAACGAGATGAGAAGGCTGCAGCGAAGATCTTAGCTTCGAAAAAGGATTTGGCTAAAGGCGAATTTGACTCCCCCCCTGGTCTGCCGATGTTCGTACAGGCTGACACCGATCGATGGCTGGAGAGATGGACTAAAGGTCAACGTCACATTCTTTGCAAAGTCATTTTTACAGAACCGACTTTCCGACGACGTGGTATGGGTAATGCTCTCGTTGAATATGGCAACAAACTGGCGGACAAGAAGGGCTTGCCCATATTCACGCAAGCTTCGCCTTTTGGCTTTCCGCTTTATACGAAGCATGGCTTTGAAACCGTACAGTGTTTGAGTGTAGATCTCAGGGAGTGGGCACCAAATGCCAAGGGCAATTATAAGGGTTATGGAAATTATAAGTCCCGCTATATGCAAAGGCTTCCGCAAATGCTCCCGGAACCTATCTGAGGGCTTGAGAAGCACGCTTCAGTACTCTCTCCTTTCCAAAAGAGGTGTATGTTTTCACGAAGATCACTGCTTCACGAGAGACTTCTCGCCTACTCGTATTTCTTTTGCGTGAGATAGCGATGATATCGAATTGCAAGGGAAAAAAAACAGTGGAACAGAGCAGCTGATAGGAATTGAGATATCGCTTTGAAAATGGAAGATGATTGGTGAATATACAAATATAATTGAGCCACATTGCAAAAAGTGAATTCACCTATAAAGTTGACAAGAGATAATATTGGTATGTAATTTACAACATCCACACACATATTGACAATTAAAAGACTCATCCAGGGGTTCTCGGTGAAGAGAGTGGAGAAGAAGGACATGAACTTAAGCATTGAGGGGCTCTCATCCCGCAATACCTGTCTTAGAGTTTCCATTTCCTGACTAAAGGTAGAAGAAAACTCCTCTGTCACCCGATAGTATCAAGATGTGTAATCTTTAAAGTTCTTTTGCAAATCATTCAATGGATCAGATTTTGTTTCTGGGCTGCTTGGTGCAGTTCCAATGTCAATTTGCAGCTGCGTGCATGTCCAAGCATAGCTTGGAGAAACCATAATCCGAGTTATTTACCTTCACCACACAAATGAAGATAATTCTTAACGAGCATAAAATTATATGGGTGGTGTTTAAAGATGTTTGAGATGGGTTCTCGATGCGTCATTGCTGCTGATATTGGAGGGGATTTTGGAGATGTGCATTAATTGAAATGGAAGAACGATTGATGTTCAGGCATGAAAATAGACTAAGGATTGTGCGACTGAACGCCAAGATCTCAACTCGATAACGTTAATACCTTTTCACATATTATGAGGGGAAGTATTTCAACAACACTTGATATTAATCATACACCACGAGAGAATGACAACATGAGGAACTTTGCGTATACAAGGTCAATAACTCCCATGCAACCACTCAGATCTATTCTCAATTTAAAAGTATTTGACGCCTCATAGTAAGTCCTGTTTGGCCGCGCATCAGCTCTTCCACTTGAACAATCACCTCGAGAAGATTCGCCCTTCATTAAATCGCCCGCAGACGCCAGTTCTAAATTGAGATAGCGGATATGAGACTGCGCAGGCAATTGCGCGAGTTTACTTGACCTTCGACGACTCGTCCGCCCGATACTAATCTGATAAAACATACACTGGGTGGACAGGACAATAGGTTCAGTCAGATGCGATGAGAATATTCGAAGTCCACATCCGCAAACAAAGTCGCTGAAGTGGCGGAACTCAACTCGGGAATTGAGGAAGTAATGACTCTGTTCATCCGGCAACTGGTCAATCCCCTCCCTGTCTTTTCCGTGGCTCACAGTCGATCTGTCGAAAGCGGCCAGTGAGGATTTTCGGTAATCGGACATACACTCAAACTTGTTATATACGAAGGATACACAAGCAGCTCACCGCCACATTCACGGCATACCAGGGCAGGATATGAATGATCTCGGCGAAAGGATCGGTTGTCATTACTAGATAACCAAATCTCGCTTTGGCGCAACTTATTACAAACGGGTTGACGATGTTCCTCATACTTCAATACGAAGGATCTCAACACCATAACTAAGGGCGATAGGGGTCTCGTCTGTATATCTATATACACGTGGGTGGCACTTTAAAGATATTGATCTATTCCAAATGGCGTCCTCAGGTATACTTCTACGTGTGTAGGTGGTTAAGGTAAGTGAAAGGAAGGTATTGTCATTTCGGAATTTATATGGCTCATGCAGAAGCTCGACTTAGTCGAGATCATATTTGTATTGATGGTCGCCACACATAACCGTAACAAGACATGAGAATTGAAGTTTTGTAGAGCCGGTCTTATCGGAATTTGCTGTCACAACGTAGTGTGAAGCTTTACGCATCAATCATGTATCCATCACCGCTCAAGAAAGATCTAGAAATTCTTCAGAATTCAAAACAAAATAAAAATCAATCAAGAACATCATATAATCACTTTTTAAAATCTTCATTGCCAATTCAATTGCCTTCAGTGGAAGATTTCATGTTCCTCCGAAAATAATTAATGTTCAGGCATTAAGGCCATCACTAATAAGCGAGGGTTGAATTTCACACAAACCCTTTAGCGCCTCAAGAATATTCGTGTGGAAACTCTATCAACTTGAGAAATTTCACCGACGTCGACAACTTGTAAATTTAACCACCACCGCCAACTCCACAAATCAGCCATCGCAATCATGTCTGAAGGAGAAATCGAAGTCGAGGCCGTTTCCGGCTACCAAGTGCTCCCAAAGGAGGTCACTGAGGAGATTGGAAGCATCAAGGTACAACTCAATTAAAATTCATCGATAAATGGGAATATTGAAGCTGACAATCTGCAGCTTTTCAACAAATGGAGCTACGAGGATGTTGAGATCCGCGACATCTCTTTGACGTAAGATTACCCAATGCGAATTATATGTGGAGGAGAAAAGGATGGAATTGGAAAATATTCGACATTTATTTTGGATGAGGGGGATTATAGGAAGAGCCAAAGGCTAATGCGATATTTTTTCAACAGCGATTACATTCAAATCAGAGCCCCAGTCTACATCTCCCACTCCGCCGGTCGTTATGCGCAAAAGAGATTCAGAAAGGCCAACTGCCCAATCATTGAGCGTCTTACCAACTCCTTGATGATGAACGGTCGCAACAACGGAAAGAAGCTCATGGCTGTCCGCATTGTTGCCCACGCCTTCGAGATCGTACGTCCGACCACATTGTGACACATTTGCAAGAAATTCTAACACTCAAAATTATAGATCCACATCATGACCGACCAAAACCCAATCCAAGTTGCCGTTGATGCTATCGTCAACTGCGGTCCCCGCGAAGATTCCACCCGTATCGGATCCGCCGGTACCGTCCGTCGTCAAGCCGTCGATGTCTCCCCTCTCCGCCGTGTCAACCAGGCCATTGCTCTCCTTACCATCGGTGCCCGTGAAGCTTCATTCAGAAACGTCAAGTCCATTGCTGAGTGCTTGGCTGAAGAATTGATCAACGCTGCTAAGGGAAGCAGCAACTCCTACGCCATCAAGAAGAAGGATGAGTTGGAGCGTGTCGCCAAGAGCAATCGTTAAATGGTTATATTCGGGGATTTTCTGTGGGGTGTTTCAATTTGCATTATGGATGGATGGGCGATTGGCTGCATTTCTGTCACATAAACGGCTTTTATGAATGCAAAAGTCATGACACAACCGGAATAATGGATATATGCATTCAGTGATTTTGTGCCATCGGTTCAAGTGCACAAATTTGTATTGGGACCATGAGCCTAGGATGGCTGTGAGGGCTGATCATATGCCATCTGGTGATTCTACAGAATTTGATACCTCCAGATACAAAAGCAAATTTGATGAACAAATCCCGCACATTCCAAAGCTTCACAAGTGACATGTACGATGATTGACAGATGTTGCTAACGGATCCGTAGCCAGGCCGCTTCAGCTTTGTACGCCGAATTATGCTTTTAAGAGTCTCCCACCTGCATTCCACGCTTGTATGAGGTCTCTATGGAGTTGACTCCAAGGTTTGTATCATCCTTACAAAATTTGCCAGTAAAAGTGATACTGGATAACACTTGCTATTCGTTCTAATGTGTTTGGCGCGTAATGGTAGTTTCAACCTAGAGTTGCAGTATTTTCTAGAGCTAAAGCACCCTCACATTGAGGATATAGTAGTCTCGCTGTATCGGAACTACTACCGTTCAACTCTCGATTCCGGTTTCTCAATAATCGATGGTTGATGATTAGATCCTGCGCGAAATTCTGACATCTTGCTCGTTTCGATCGGCAGGGTTCATGGATTGCTGAGGAAAATGGGTAGACTGTTGGTTGAATTATACGGATGGGATGTATGTAAAGAGGTAGGCACTTTTATTGAAGTGGGTGGTTGGGGTAAGGTGGTCCAGTGGGTGCTGGGAATCTTGACATTATCTATAATGTTGTTAACCCACCAGCGAACTCATTCGCGATCCTGCACGAATAATCAGAGTAATATTTTACATTCCCACGCAGTGCGGCGAGTAGTTATTGATCGCTCACATATTGATTCATGATATTAAAATGAACCACTCCATCTACCTTCCTTCCCTCTCCCTCCCCTGCACATTGTTTAAATCACTTGTATACATCGTATTTCATTCCCAACACCGCACACATAACATCAACCCTTTCCCCATTCCAGTCATAAGATGTGGCGAAACTCTAGCAAGATTTGGAGTAGGAAGTGTGTCAATATTACAGGAAATACTGTCTAAAATGATAGACCTCCAACATCTAAGATTAATGTTAAGAATGGTACTTGCATCGCTCAATACACGACACGGGCGATAAAATGAATTATCTCGGGTTCTTAAAGAGACGCAACAGGTATCCGGGAAATTTTGGGAAGAGGGATGGGGAGTAGACTTCGTGGGTTTATACCAGGTGGGTTATTTTTGTGTATGAATAACTATTTGCATTGAATGTCTGCTTAGGAGTGCTCTTCGTATCCTGATATCCTCGTGCAATTTTCCGACTTTCTGAGAGCTGTAAATATCTTCTTGTGTCAGTGATCTAAGACCATATTTGTATTGCATGTCCAATTCAATATCAAAACTATTCATCTGTATGGGATATCAGTGACTATCATGTGATTAATCATAAAGGCCATACAGTTTCATACGTTGCCTGTTATGCTCGTTACTACACTTCCAGGGTAAAGACTAAACTTTTGAAATGGCAACCTTGAGAGGGGAGGTTTGAAAGAATTAAGTCGAAGCTGGTTCGTTCCCGAGATTGAACATATGATACAGTCATGCTCTGTACGAATTGACTACGTAAAGGATAGGAGGGAAAGAGTAATGTGAGGATATCGAGGAAGGAAGATGGACTGGGAATTTGAGCGAGATTGTGAGCAATGATATGGTTGTATATCTGTCTGTTTGATAGAGCGAATTAATAAAATGCTCGGGTATAACACACATGATCCGATTTTAGCATGAATTGCTAAGGGATAATAGCAAAGAACACTCAGTAATCTGAATCCGTATATCAGGAATCTACAACTTGAAATTATCGTTCAAATTGATTGTACATAAGTGATGGATATAGATGATGAACTAAGGGGCTTAATGAGATTTAGATAACGAGAGAGAATTGGAATAGGAGGATAGAGAGTGTGTTATTGGTTTAATTTGCTAAGAGAAGTTTGGATGGGTTTTAGTGGTTTGAGATGAGATGTCTTCATACCTTTTCCTCGGGCGAGAACGAGAACTGTATGAACGATGTTATTCAGAAGAGCGATATGTTTACTAGAAGGGGTGTTGAACGACTGCAAAATTTGATAGATACAAAGTTGTGTAAGCCACCGAATGTTTATTGTCAAGTTTTTTTTTTCTTTCAGCTTTTCCAGAAATAATTTTGATATCACGTCCTGTATATCTATTGATCAGCTGTAGTCGATAGAAGCAAATAGCTATCTATGTCTTAGCTGAAACAAGCAGCGTACTGAAAAAATGCAATCCACTATTCTACTCGACAAGTCCGAATGAGAACATCTAGAATGTGGTGAATATCTGTCATGATTTCTTCAACCCTTATGACAAGGAATACAAGCAGTTAGAGAAGGAAATTCCATTGCATTCGAGGGAAAGCTATCCGAGGTTCTTCAGGCTCGTCGGAGTCTATGAAATCTTGTGCGGCAAAAGAGTGTCTTTCCGGCAAGAAGATAGAGGCAGGCAGATCCAAATCGGGCTCAGGTTTTACGAAATTCGAGACGGTATAGGATTTTTTTGAGGTTGGATTAGGAGTAGGTAAATTTAATTCGAATCCAGCTTCGAGAGAGTCCTTTTCTGGAATACATTCGAAACACAGATCCTCAAAAGTCTATATAATTCGGTTGTACATTCATGCACTGCTCCGACGTAGATATCCTCATGGGGGCCTGAAGAAAAATTATCTTTCAAAAGTCCTTGGAGTGGGAGTTGTTTTGAAGGATGGCCGGGAAACAGAAGGGAGACCTTCACAACGTAGTTAAAAGGATGCAATCACCTCGATCATCTTTCAAAATAATTGATTGGACTAATGTGCATCTGGAGGTCATCCGTGAAAGCATTCATGCTAGAAGAAAGACCCTTTTCCTCGAGCACTTTGCACGCATGTAGACGAAATGAGGATGACGAAAACACCCTTTGTATACAAATTATGTTGTAGCCTGATGCTCATGTCGACTTTGACAGAACTAGGAAATGCATGGATGTTATAAGTTTCGCTCAAAATTCACAGGGTTATCATTATTAATGCAGAAGTTTAGGGAGTTGACTGAAGTCCACGATACTGCAGCTTGACGAAGCTGCATAATTTGCTTTTGATTAATTTGTAATACGAGCAATAAATTAACATCCGATGTTTCCTCTCTTTCCACCTCTCTTAGTTCTGTCAATATGCCCTTTAAGCACCCTCCTAGTCTGTTGCAAACTTCTCTTTTGCTTACTCTTAGCCTTGCCCAACGTCATCATGAAATTCTTCTTTCGAGATTTCTCTTGATTGGTAGTACTCTTGCCCTCGGCATCCTTCTTCGACCTCCTAATAGCTTTGGTAGACTTATGCTCGCTACGCTCACCCTTTCCTTCCCTAGCCATTGCTATCTTCTCTTCTCTTGTATTCTTTTGTAACTTCGAGAAACCTTCAATTTGATCAGCTGTCAAGGCATCATCTGCATGTCTTGCAGCTGCGTCCTTCATCCGTTGAGATTGTGTCCTTCCTCCCATCGCCTTGTTTACACTAGCCTCAAGACGGAGCTCTTGAAGCTTTGCAAGATCGGCTGGAGTGAGAATTTTGGTGGTTGCATATGTGGAGATCTTCTGTTCAAGGGCCTTGTCGGTAGCCTCCTTCGCGGCATCTTCTGTTGATAATTCGGTGCCGTCCGCTGACTTTTCGGTAGCTTTGACTTCGAGCTTCGCCTTCTTCGCGGCTGGCTTCTCATCTTCACTATCACTGATCTCAATTTCGCCGTCGCTCTCGACGTTGATCCAACCATCCTCATCACTATCAGCATCAGATTCAACATCCCAAGCATTCCAATCTTCCTCATCATCCTCTTCTTCATCCGTGCCCAATTCTTCTGGCAATCCACGTTCAACTCGTTTCCTTTTCCTTTCGTCTTCCTTCCACTGCTCAAGTAACTCGATACCTTCGATACCGCCGGCTTCTTCCTCACCAAAACGTCTTTCTTTGATTAATCCGGTCTTGAGACCCATTGTCGCTGTCTTTCCTCTGTCTCTCTTCTTCAACATATCAGCTCCGACCTCACGATACAAGGACAACAATCCTTTTGCTGCCATCATCGTTCCCTTGTCTTTACTTTTTCTGTACATGATAAGATCTTGCAGGAGTGTATCATTCATAGCTAATGGTTGTCGTACGCAAATCTCTCGAATAGCATTAAGTCCGGAAGCAGCGACCTCCGAGGCAGAAGCTTCAGAGACGAACTCATTGGCAATCTTCTGTACCAAAGGCTCCAAAGCATCGGGTGGAACAAGATTATGCGTTGCTTGAGCTAGAGATGCCAAAAATGAAGTTACAGATGGTTGTCGTGGTGTGAGGTACTTGGTAAAGTACGAGTATAATGAAATTACAGTAAGCTTGTGCAAGCCAACAAGTCGCGAAACCAATTGTAGGACAATCAGTTTTTGTTCAAGGTTGAGTTTCGACTTCGAGTTCTGAAGGTGTTTTGAAAACAGGGTTTCGGCGAAACCTTGGGGATCATGCAAGAGATGCAGGGCGGAGAAATTCAGTGGATGGGGTGCTTTGCTCTTCTTTTCCTTCCTTCGTACCTTTTCGACGGCCTTCTCCAACGTTTTCGTCTTCTTCTTTGTTTTTTTGTTGATACCAACTTGATGCTTCAGCTTACCAATATCAATGGCTTCTTCGTCACTGCTTTCATCCTCCATTTCTTCTCTTTCCTTGTCACCTCCCAAGAAAAACCGTACTCCACCGCCAATAACCTTCTCATTATCTGACAAACTAGCTTCCTTCATAATCTCAACAGCTTTCGCATCTGTCCAGATCTGTCGTTTCCACAATTCTCTCGTAATTTTGACAGCCCAGATTCCTTTGGAAGATGTTCGGTCGGAGGTGAGCAGATTGAACAGTGCTGTCTGCATTGTTCGATTGAGACGATGATTTATGCTCTTCGAGTTCGAAGTTCGTAGGTCTGACAGGATCTTCTGGAATAGTAGTGTTCGGAGTGTTTTACTAGGCGTAGCTACCAATATTGGAAACAATGTATTGAGAAGGTTGGCCGAATCAATTACTTCCTTTCGTCGCAATAGTACCAAACTACCAACGATCTTCTCACGCAATTCGCTTTCAAGTTCGGCATGGTGTAAAGTTAAAATCTGCTTGAGATCCTCTGGGAACTCTGCGGTATCTTCTGGGAAACAGTCTGAACAATGTGCGACGAAATCGATGAGGTCGTGGAATGATACGATGCCGCCGGATGTCGCAGTGGAAGGAGAAGACATAAAAATATCTCTTTGTGCTTGGTACTGTCCATATTGATTTAGGAAATCTTCTGCGTATGATCTGGTACAATTGTCAGATGATACTTCCATTACTCAGTGTAGAAGACATGTAACTTACTTTGGATCTCTTCGAATCTTGTATTGTAAATTTGGACTATAGAGGTCAGCAATGATCAGTAGAAATGTACCAATTGAACTCTTACAGATCCGCATCAACCTTCTCCAAAGCACCAACTCTCTTTTTACCCATAACGTCGGTTGGATGCTGTCCGATTTTTGAGTGTTCGAATCTGCCTTCTCACTGAATTTCACATGGGTAAGATAATTTTTTTCGTTATCATTATCTTAGCGCCAGTCGCTTAAGCAACCAGCGCTATCAAGACGGCGTGTGAGTATTGATTAGTAAGGTGTTTGAATATGAAATAACTGAGGATGGCAAACTCTTCAACTACATGCCTTTCTATTGGTTCACATATTTGCCAACTCACGCTCGCCCAAGAAGTTTATATCATTAATCACAGCGACGACGTGGAATTAATCCATGATGGTTCATCTAACGTTATCAAATAACATCCAAGTGGCTACCACACCTCGTATATATTCAGTTAGCGGCCGCATCAACGCGGAGCACGTAGCTAACAATGACTGCATCGATCCCCAATATTATCATGAGCCTCAGCTCGCGTCAACAATCTGAGACCTAAAGAATTTGCAAGATGGCCCCCAAAATATCTCATTGGGTGCCGACGCCAGTCTTCAGCTTCTAATGGTACCACATAAGTTCGTGGTGGGTCTTCGGAATCATTCTTTGCTACGACTACTGCGAGTAATTTCAGGATTTTTCTGACGGTGATATCACGGTTCGTTTGAAAGGATCAGGTTTTGGTGAAGCCGTTGTTCAGCCATTATCGCGCCCAAATACTATATAACTCCTACCCAGTGGCAGGTGATCGAAGAGCCATAAGTCAATGCAAACCTACCCCTCTTCGTTCTCTTCATGCCTCCCTTCATCTACCCTTATCAGTGGTAATGAATTCGCCCACAGATTGTCCATTTATTTCTGCGAAAATGTCTGATGCAGATCCATATATCCTAACAAAGCTCTCTGAGCATGTGTCACAACACCTGAACAAATCACTTGATCAAGCCGTGGAGAATCTATCTTTGAGACTCCAGGACACGGCTAAAGATGCTATCGCTGATACTAGAGAAATCAATACCATTATTGACCAGGCGGTTAGAGAAGCCGTTGAGAAGGCATTCGAGAAGTCTGTGGTAACGGAAGTTGAGCCTTCTTCGGTACAATCAGAGTTTAAATTCTCACCTCCCCGAAATTCTAATTTCGTGGGCCGCTCTTCAACTCTGGCAAAACTACTCAGCCTATGGAAACCAGATCAAAAGAGTCGATTGGCAGTAGTTGGACTTGGAGGAATAGGGTATGTGATTTACCCTCAATAGTTTCAATGCCAAAACTCACATCCACAGGAAAACCGAGCTTATTACTGAGCTTGTCTACCAAATTAGAGAAGCATCACCCGCATCAATATATTGGTTTGGGCCTGGAAACTTGCTTGCACCTTCTGTCGATGGACATGAACCATTAGAAAATTGGCTACGGCCTGGACGAGACTCCGCAAGTTTGTTGGTTGTTGATGCCGGTGATAATTTTGATTTTCTGCTGCAGCAAGCTGAGCATGGTAGACTGATTGACAGGCTGCAAAGGTTCGAAGGTGCCATCATACTCATTACAAGGACCAAATCGAACGGGTGTCTCTTAAGTGGCCCCCACAATATCTTTGAAGTGGGATGTCTCGAGCTCGAACCAACAATGTGTTTATTACGAGACAGGTTGACCGTTGACCTATTCGATAATTCGACTGACGAGCAACTTCGCGAAATCGCCCTTCTTGTTAATTGTCTACCAAGAGCCATTGTCCAGGTCTCAAACTTACTCAACGATACCTCGATGAAACTGTCGCAATTCATCTCCATATACCGGACAAATGATCAGTTCAAACTACGACTGCTGAGTTCGGTAGCTCCGCTCTTTACAATATCGGAAGAAGAATCTGTTATTGGAAATGGCGTCATGAATGCTAGAAAATTTCGATTAACTTACCCTATGGCAGCTCGTATTCTTCATCATCTATATTATCTTGGCGGAAATGCAGTACCACGCTCTATCATCTGCTCGTTGGTTGATCCTCTTGATCTCATTGTCGTAATGTGCATCTTGAAGGGGAATTTCCTCGTCACAGAGGACGATACTAGCGAGACATACAGCATGCATCCCTTGGCCTTCTTGTCGCTTAAGAAGGTAATTACCAGCGAAAGATCAGAAGCAGAAGAAGTTGAGATCGAGCAAGAGCTGGAATGGTACACACAAGCAGTTGTTGCCTTTGGGAATCATTACCCTGACTCGAATAGCAAGGATCGAGAATGGTGGAAGAAATGCTTCGAACGGTTCCTTGGTGATGGAAGCAAGAACAGTGATTCTGTACGAATTGCGCTGGCTTTGGTCTACAACAAAGAATCCAAACATCTTGTTCGCATGGGCCTCTACAATGATGCTTTGAAGATGGCAACACACGCAGTTGATACTTTACCCGAGGCAATACCACACGAGCATCTTAATGTGCTTCAACATCATCTTTCGCTACTCGACCTACTAGCCAAGTATGGAGAGCTTAGAGATGCTTTGCAGACGTATACCGAAGAACAGCCAGATGAGTTGTGGAAGAAACGCGTTGAAGGCATCCTGTACCTATCAGAAGGTACCAACAAATCTGATGTCGTTGACATTTTCCGCCAGATTCGCCGTACAAAAGAGTCCATGAATGCTCCGGAAAGTGATTTATGTACCAGCATTGACGACTATGGGGCGGCCCTGATGCTGATTGGCAATTACCAAGCTGCTGAAATAGAATTTTCGACAGCTTTTAGGAAAAGGGCAACATTTTTAGGAACCAATCATCCCGACACTCTCATCAGTTGCCAACACCTTGCAAATGTACTGCACAAGTCTGGCAGGTTTAATGATGCCCTTAGATTTGTGGAAGGTGCCATACGTGGAAGCCAGATGTCTCAAGGCGACGAGCATCCTCAAACTCAATACATCAAAAGTCTTAAAGCACGGATTCTACTGTCCAAAGCCGTTTCATCGTCTGATTACAATGAAGTCGAATCTCTTCTTACCAATGCTGCCGACGTTCTCACTACTCACCTATCTGACTCTCATCCTCTGGTTTTGACTTGCAGGAGCAACATTGCACTAGTGATGCTAGCACAAGGGAGATATGATGAAGCTTTAACCATGAACCGTGCTGTTTTGACCGCAAGAGAACATGGTCCATGGTTAGATCGTGAGCGGCACCCGGACATACTGACAAGTCGACACCAGATTGCAGAATGTCTGAGGCTCAAAGAAGGATGTCATGCTGCTCAGAGTTTGAGTTCCCAAGTTCTGGTTGATAGAACGCAAATATACACCGAAGGAACTTTCGAAAGCGATGACTTTCATCCCGAGCAGCTCACGAGTCTCCACCTCCAAGCTCTCATCCTTGCTGGCCTTGGTCAACATAGCGGAGCTCTCCATAAAATGGATCTTGTGTTGATTGGTAGGAAACGCGTTCTCGGAGAGTCACATCCGGATTATCTTAATAGTCTCACCTGCCGAGGTGAAATCATACGTGGGCAGCTCCCCCTTGAACAAGGGCGGGAGGAGATGTTGGACACTATCGACGCGCTTCATGGAAAAGCTTTGGAGGGCCTTACTCGAGTATTTGGTTCTCAGCATCACTGGACACTTCAGTGCCTATCTTACATGGCAGCTGCAAAGCGTGAACGCGGCGATGCTTTGAGTTACACCGAGGCCGCTGGGCTGTATCGTCATATCTCGCGAGCTTATGAGGGAAACATGGGTGACCTCCACCCTGAAACTGTCAGGGCGAAAGCCCATCTCGCTGAAGTGATGCATCTTTTGGGAAACCGTCCTGAAGAAGCCAAAAAGGTCTTCAGAGAGGCTTGCGCTGGACTTGCGAAGGTATTTGGATCAGATGCCCATGCTACTATCACCGCGTATAGAGGGTATGAAAAGTTTGCTAAGGATCTTTCTGATCCGGTCTAAGGCTTTTAGAGGGTAACGATGAAATTATTTTGGAAACAGCATGACCAAGGATTATCAGGAAATACAAACGTGAGAGTACATGTACGGGAAGGGTAACCCAGCATAAACGGCGTTCGAGTAGACGTTATAATGGATGGATAGATATTTTTGATGGAGCTGTTTATTGATCCTTGTTCTCTCCTTGCTGGCTCAAATAGCAGGAGTAATCTGCAGAAGCCTCATCGAAGGCTGGAGTTCATGCACGAATTTGATAAATTTTCTTGTTGTTACGTCTATTGTTATTTTTGTACAAATCATAGAGTCCATCCGGAGAGCACAGAGTGGCTTCAGATGTCTGATATCGAATCATTCATACACGCGATCAAGTATTGTCCGTTGATGTTGCAAGATGCAATGATTGTATGTTTCGAACTTACCACTGTTAGCCTTTACAGTTCAGCCTATTTGCGTTCCCGGAATGTATGCCAGCAAACACTCACACAAACGGGTCTTTGTGCTACGCGAATCCAACCCAAGACGCCACGTTCTATTTTAAATTCAATGGCCAATCATTTTTAGGGCCTTACTTGTAGATTTCTCCATCATCTCCATTATGTTGTATTTCATATCTGGAGCATGTTTGCTTGATTTCCTATCCTCAATTCAATTGATCCTTTTTCTTTTTGCATAGCTGGCGCGATTTTTATTATGTTTAATTGAAGCTTTCAAGTTCTCCCTGGTGGAATTCGTTCTGTCAATATGGCTCCAATAGACTTTTCCATTTTATCCTCCCGTTCGTTTCCAAACAAAGTCGCCAATTCCACATCCCCAATTATAAAACTTGTTACCCAATCTTCTGCCGCATTCTCTGCCTACACTCCTTCTCCTACCCCACTTCTCACTTCCTCAACACTGCCTCTAGAATCTCCAATCCTGACTGCGCTCCCCGATCTATTGCGTGAACAATTCTCCACTATCATAGTTGATGCTCCCACCACTACTTATACGTCCTATATCGAACTCAACGATAATGCATTTGCTTCTGAACCCGCTTCTCTCCCTGATTCGACTCCCATCAGTGATTCATATGCAGTGGAGACGCAGGCACCTCAGCCCAATAATAGCGGTAGAGATATCGGAATAGTCATTGGTTGTATCATTGGGATATTGATTCTAGGATTGATAGGTTGGGTTTACATGATGAAGGCGAAACGCAGTCAGAGGAAGAGGAGAAAAGGGAAGGGAAAGGAGAAGGAGATTGTGAAAGAAACGGTGAAGTTCAAAGTAAAGGTAAACAAGAGGAAGCATAGGAAACATAAGAAGCATAGAAAAACGGAAGCGAAAACAGCAAGGGTCTCTGGAGGTGAAGCACCGGCTGCCGGAGGTGCTTAGAGGGGATGCGTAGGAATAACTCTTTTCTACGGAAGTTAGTTTGGCGAACTGGGCTGCATAAGCTCAATGGTTGAGCTACCGTTGAGCAACAAAAAGTGTGAATTAGGCACGAGCAAGCTCAATGGAAGTTTAAATAATAACCTGGAATCAAATTGGAGATTGGAAAAGACCGCGACTGAACGCTGGTTAGTTCGAATGGGCAGGGTACGGAATGATCGGGAACTTTGCAGCGCCAAATGATCAACCAGACGAATGAATTTTTCGATATATCAACAATGCATAAACCAGACTTGGATCTAGACCAATTGAGCTGCCTCGTTCATTACCAATTGTAGTCAGAAAAAAATCCAAGAAAGGACATACTTCACATTCCGCGCTACTGCATGATGTTGCACTAGACACTCGGCTTGCCATATCAGGAGATATGCCAAGAAATTGTTGCTATACGTGCCGGGGTAAAGGGTCTTTCAGGGATCGCATGTAGAATTAAGCTTTGCTGGGCGTGGCAGTGTTGAGCCTTAACCTTAAAGGACATGTGGTAAGAAATGTGCTAGGGGTTGCTTTGACGCACGAAAGGTCATTGTACAACGCGTGAACAGCTATCTATCAAATGAACAATCGCTCAGACAGTGGCTACTTCTCTCCAAGGTCTTTTGGTAACATTTTCCAAAAGGCTGTCAAAGAGTGTTTGAATAGTTCCCCTCGAATTGAACAACTCTAGAACAATGAACGTTATAGCATACAAGAAGGGACTTCCGCTTCAACGGTAAGATCATAGTCTCAACCAAGCATTCAAACACCCAGATAGAGAAAAATCGATCAACTAACGCCATGAATCATCACCAACGCCGAAAACATCACTCATCCCGCCGTCGCGAGAGTGAGAGGAGAGAGGCACGAGATCGATGGTCGCATGCCGATCCAAACCACCCGGTCGAACTCGGCGAGATCCGCAAGGAACAAGGTCACACTCCACAATGCCGTGAGGTGAGACCACGCAGGAGAAGAGAGGAAGAACCTTCAGGTTGTTGTAACATCATGTGAAGAATCACGTGAATGATGGAGTGAGGGGTTAATTGCCAAGCAAAGCAGTAGAGTAAGTTGAGAAACAAGTTGACTTTTTCAGGCGTAATTCTCTTCGAAAGTCCTCCGCAAATGATCAACAGCATCTAAGTAAGTAAGTTTGAAACCCATTTGACTTGTGCGAGCGTTCATGATTCCAAATAAAATAAATTTCCATGAAGATTAAAAGTAATATTCTATAGTCCCTCAAAATGTGCAAATGATCGAAACCCAAGAATAGTTAGGGAACTTCCAGTAAATCACTTGACCTGCTTTGCATTCCAAACATTACAATTAAGTGAACTTAACACAAAAGAATCTATGGGTGTACTCCAATTCTACAACCCTAATTGAGCTATAATACCATGGAATATAAGCGAGGAAAGTACCCACACCCCAATGTATGTTTCAAATTAGTCCGGGAAACCTATCTCTTTTGGGTGCTCAAAACCTTGAGGGAGGAATGCCGACCTTGGCACTACAAGTATCAATCCATGAATGAAGTCAGAGATGAAAAGCGATCTCAGAGATCCAATAATCTCGAGTGAGCACAATGATTAGATTTCTCTACATCGCTCGCAGGTAGCGTTTCATTCATGCCCAGAGCTCCTACACCACTAGTATTTGCTCGTAGTCTAGACCGTGGAGTTCCAGAAAACGTTGAAGTCGGATAGAGTTCTGACTTGACGCGTCTTCGCATGAGTGGTCTTCCTGATACGACTAGGAAAGACCGAATTAGCAATCTGACCCTTGAACCTACAAAAGCCATCGATCCAAAGTGCAGCCTATTTTCATGTTATGCCGTTCGATCCAGTGATAGAGAAGTTTGGCATGAGATCCGGGGTACAGTAGTGGTGGAAAAATGCCCGACTAAAAGCGGCATTGACCCCGCAACACGCTAGATGAGTATCTTCGTATAATCTTACCGAAGCCTTTCAACAACCTTTTTCTTGAATCCTTGACTACATCCCGCTCAACGAACACTTTGAGCACTTCGATGCACCTTGTAAATAGTATCCTGCAAGGCTTGTCAAAAACAGCTTGAAGTTGAAGAACTATCGACGATTAATGGGAGGTGCACGGTATTGAGGGGGAAAGGGAGGACGGAAATAGCTCGGTGATTAACGACGGTCTTTCGTTTGCTAGTAACATGTTCATCAACTTGGCAGAAGTCTGCAGTGCATTGGAAACCAAGAACATAAGCTGTGTCACGTTCAGATTATGGTATAACTCAATTGGCTTCTCTTTTCACTCCAGGTACTTGATTGGAACTCTAAATATTGCCCGCATACGATATGTGAACTCGGACTGCGGGGTAAACTTAAAGTGTTTTGATTACGACGGCAGATCGCATTTCCCCGCGTCGACCACGTCTCCTAGATTTTGAATGTTTTACTCGAATGCCCGATGATGTCCTACTCTCCTTGTGCTTGACTGTGAGGGCGTATTCAAGCTGCACCTCTAACTCGCGCATCAATCACAATTGACGTCCATCAAGCGGGCATCGTCATGGTAAGACAAGAAGAGGGGTAGCGACGTTGACTACGGCTTAGTTGCTCTTGTCTTACTGCTCCCTCTGTTCAGGGACCTTCAGGAGGCCAATGGTCACCGATTGAGTATGCCATGGTACCACATACAAGGCGGAGATGTAGCTGACGCTACACGAAGCCTCTAATTTCGTTAATCCGGGTATCCGGAGCCAGGGGTATAAGAAGTTGGGGGTAGAAAAGGCTGCGTGTTTCTTCATCTCTGTGGCATGCTTTACCAGCTTTAAAAGTTGCAAGTAATACACAACATTGACAAACTTTGAATAAGGCAGTGACAATGACGATCCCAGATGAGTTCGATATCATCGTCTGTGGTGGTGGAAGCACCGGTTGTGTGATTGCTGGCAGGTATGTCGATATCATTCCAGATATATATGCTCATTAGCTCGATACTGAATGGTCTGCAGACTTGCAAATCTCGACCACAATCTCCAAGTTCTCCTCATTGAAGCTGGAGAGAGTAATCTCAACAATCCATGGGTATTTCGACCTGGAATCTGTAAGAATTATGCTATATCCCTTCAACTGCATTAGCTAACAGCTATAGACCCCAAAAACATGAAACTCGACAGTAAGACAGCATCATTCTACTATTCTCGACCTTCAGAATGGCTCGCCGGTCGCAAAGCTGTTGTCCCATGTGCACATATACTCGGCGGAGGGTCCTCTATAAACTTCATGATGTACACACGGGCGTCTGCTTCCGACTATGACGACTTCCAAGCCAAGGGATGGTCTACGAAAGAACTCATTCCTTTGATGAGAAAACATGAAACATACCAGCGGGCATGCAACAACAGGTTGGTGGATGTACCTTCTGCCAGTTCACATCTCTGACCCTTTCAGGAACCTTCACGGCTTTGATGGACCCATTAAAGTATCGTTTGGAAACTACACCTATCCAATTACTCACGACTTTCTACGTGCTGCCGAATCTCAAGGCATCCCAACAACTGATGACTTACAAGACCTGGTCACTGCACAGTAAGTCCCATTCGCATTACCTTGTTCCACACTTACGAATATATCAGTGGTGCCGAACACTGGCTGAAGTGGATTAACCGAGATGTAAGTACACCTTTCTGAAGCGGAATCATAAATCTCACATCATGTCAAGACAGGTCGACGTAGCGACGCTGCCCATGCCTACATTCATTCCACTAGATCCGTACACTCAAACCTTCACCTTATGTGTAACACCAAAGTAGATAAGATTATCATCGAGAATGGTCGAGCTGTCGGTGTTAAAACAGTGCCAACAAAGCCTCTCCACCCAAATGTAAGTTATTCTGTAGCAATTGATCGAAACTTTCTGACACTAAATTCCAATAGCAACGTTCACGCACTTTCCGTGCACGAGAGCAAATTGTTGTATCAGGTGGCACGCTTTCATCACCCTTGATTCTGCAAAGAAGTGGTGTCGGAGACCCAAAGAAATTGGAAAAGGTTGGTGTCAAGCCGGTTGTTGATCTACCTGGTGTTGGTCAGAACTTCCAGGATCATTATTTGACATTCTCTGGTATTAATTATTCCCTAAATTCTACATTGCTATACACACATGCTAATACTTAGCAGTCTACCGTGCTAAGCCCGGAACCGAAAGTTTTGATGATTTTGCCAGAGGTGTCCCGGAAGTTCAAAAGGCAGTGTTTGATGAGTGGAATCTCAAGGGTACTGGCCCACTTGCGACGAACGGTATTGATGCCGGTGTCAAAATTCGCCCAACTGAGGAGGAATTAAAAGAGATGGACAGTTGGCCAACACCTCATTTCAGATCGGGTTGGGACAGCTACTTCAAGAACAAGCCTGACAAGCCAGTTATGCATTACTCGATCATCTCTGGCTGGTTTGGTGATCACATGTTGATGTAAGATATTAACGCTAGATCTCACGAGAACAGACTAATTAATTATCAGGCCACCTGGAAACTTTTTTACCATGTTCCACTTCCTCGAATATCCATTCTCTCGTGGTGAAACTCACATCGTTTCTCCTGATCCATACGAGGCACCGGACTTTGATGCTGGCTTCATGAATGATGAAAGAGATATGGCACCAATGGTTTGGGGTTACATCAAATCTCGTAAGTCTTTCTCCTTTATTACAGTGGTCCATTACGACGGAGCTCTATACTAATGATCTAATACAGGTGAAACTGCCCGTCGTATGGACGCTTATGCAGGAGAAGTACAGAATATGCATCCATTCTACGCATATGACTCACCAGCTAGGGCCAAAGACATGGACTTGTTGACAACTAAGTCGTATGCTCTCCCAGGCAATATTACCGCGGGTATTCAACATGGTTCTGTAAGTTCTATCTCGTATACTCAATATTTATGGTTCTAGATCTTCGAAAGCTGACGAGAAATAGTGGGCAATGCCTGTGGAACCAGGAAAGCCACCACAAATTTCATACCTCAACAGCAATCAACGAGATCTACAGGAGGATCTCAAGTACAGCACTAAAGATATTGAGCATATCGAAGAATGGGTAAAGAGACATGTAGAGACTACTTGGCATTCTCTCGGTGTAAGTTACAACCCATCAAATGTTATATGAATATTCACCTAACCTAAATCTAGACATGTTCTATGGCCCCCCGCGAAGGAAACTCCATTGTAAAACATGGTGTTCTTGATGAACGTCTGAATGTCCATGGTGTCAAGGGTCTTAAGGTCGCAGATCTTTCTATCTGCCCCGATAATGTTGGATGCAACACCTGTATGTTTTTCTATCCAAACAAACAAATGAACATCAACTAACTGGCGACAGTCTCAACTGCTCTTCTCATCGGCGAGAAATGCTCTATGCTAGTCGCCGAAGATCTCGGTTATAGTGGTAAGGCACTCGACATGAAAGTACCTAACTACCATGCTCCGGGTGAGCTGAGTGCTATTGCTACTTCTCGTCTTTAATTTCGCTTTTTGATGGATATGTGAATATGAGGGATCGCTTACGAATTTCAACTGTTCTTCTTATTAATGCCACTCATTCAATGTCAATAGCGTCTAGGGTTGTTATTTGTCATTATATGCTAGTGTAGTTACGATTTAATGAATATCTGGATTTCTAATGAAAATCTCAGTCTCAAAGTTTCCTAACATGTTATTTCATCAATTCAAACTCATTATATTTACTATTGATCACTATTTACAGCTGAATCAGCTGTGATGGTGCTCTGGCAATAGTCCATGAACATGGATCATATCAAGAACAAATAAAAAAGTCAAATCCAGTTATTGCATTGTCGTAGTTATCCAACTAATTTGAGCATACCTTTTACCCCGAATCAATTCTCAATTCTATCATTTTTCTACCCAAAATATGTTTCTATCATGCCTCGATCGCCAAGCGGCATGCTGGTATCAAGCGCCAGCACTGATAGATCCAACATTTGCTGTTTCTTTCAACCTATCTGCTAGCATATCATCCAAAGGCTTCAGTGCATCATCCAGACTCTTAGTATTCGAATTCTCAAGAACGGATTTACCAGCTGTCATTACCAGACGTTCGGGAGCCGGCTCTTGGAGATACGACATTACGCGTGCGCGATGAGCTGCTCGAAATAACTAGTGATAAAACATTAGCACGAAATTCCCATAATGACAAAGCACTGAGTGGAAATTAACAATAGACAAGAAATATACACACCTTCAACTGATTAACCATCTTCGCGAACTCCTCTTCGATTTGCCTAACTCCATTCTCCTTTGCCCCCCTCACAAAACTATACTTCTTAAGCACCAAACACAATTCTCGCTGTCTCGCCGGTATATATTTCTCCATATTCTCATCTGACAAATATCTCTCCATTCCCAAAAACGCATCTAGAGCTTGGAAGAACAAGACATGGTTTCCAGAAAGTCCATCGTATTTCACATATTCTCCATTGACGATCTTTCCAACGCCCCATCCTTGAAATCCTTGGACATAGGACAGCCAGACAGAATGGGAGACGCGGGATTTAGTGAGATTTTCGTAGAAGACGAGGAAGAGGTCGCGGATACGTGTGTTGATGTTGCGGAGGTGGGGGAGGCAAGTGCTGGGGGTAGAAGAGTTGAAGGATAAGACTGAGAGGACCATTTCGTGGTAGATAGGGAAAGCCTGAAAGAGTTAGTAGTACTAAATGGAAAGATTTGCATGGAAGGTGGAACCTACAACAACTTCAAGGTCATAGAACATTTGGAAGAAAACTTCCTCGGATGATCGGATCAAATTGGACATTCCGACATTAATTCTATAAATCCTTTCTCCTCTCGTATTAAAGTTGAGCAAGACGTTTGATGTATTGTTTCCTGCATCAGCGTCCACCCCGAAGTTTCGCTGAAGATATGGCCACGGCGCGTCTAGTTCAGATGGGAACTCGACGGTTTTCTCTAATTGTGCTACTTTTACCACAGGAATAGTTGCCCACCTGAGTTCACATTAGTAGATATTTGCTGGTTGAAAGTAATACCACATACCTGTATGCATGACGACAAACAGCAATACAGCAATAAAACCCATTATATGCGTCTCTGGGAAAGAGATCCCAATTGCCAGCTTCAACTGCAGCCATGATGGCCACAACTTGGGGAACATTGATCCGCTCCATCAAAGACTTCCGCATCATAGATCGATATTTTTCGCGTCTTTCATTATTGACATCATCATCTAGCGAAGGCGGAGCCGCGGACAGAAGTGGAATGAGCTGGAAGTAAATTTCTTTGTATGGACGAAGAGCCATGGGCCAAGAATCATGATTTGCATTTGGTGGCCAAGCTCCTGCGCCGTCCTCATCAACTAGTCTTGACATAGCGGCGGCCACTTCATGTTGATCTCGTAGATTTCTCAAAGCTTGATATTTTGAGACATTCTCGTTCTCGTCGATCTTTTCCTTCACTTTGGTTTGGATCGGAACTATCACTGGTATCGGGACTTTAGCACGCGTGCTGCAGATCCTAATTAAACTTGCCGAAGCAAAAGCTAGAGTAGACGCTAGAGCACCTATGAATAAAATCAATTCAAGCATATTGCAGAAGTTTATCGAGGAAACTCCGTTGTTGAATGTTGGAGTATCCTTGTTGAAATGAGTTTCGAAAATTTATAATTTCAGGACAAAATAAGGACAAGATTTGTTAGAGAAGGGCGGAATAATGATGCTATTCCATTATAGTTTACAGAGTCTAGGTTTTATAGTGGTCGAAAAGCCCCATTTTGCACGATTGATGAAATGTTCGCGTAAGCCCCTTCATTGACGACGGTTACTTGTAAATACAAGTTTTTTTGATTGGGTCGAGGAGAGAGGAATGCCTCAATGAACACAACATGAACTTGGCTGAAAACTTCAGTAGATAGCGCAGCCTTGACGGGAGAACTCGTACATCTATCCATTAATCATAGTAGATTCCCCGCAAAACGGCGAAAGGATTAGTCGATGTGGCAGCCCTAGCCGATACCATGTCTTAACTAAACCTCGAAATATCGTAGGAATCTCTTGAAAATTTAAGACGGCACGATTATCCTGGGAGTAAGCTTATTTTTAACACTCGTCCCGATTGCCAGGACTCCACGTGGAGGCGAGAGACGTTGTAATTTACTAAAGTCATTCAATATACCCCATGTAAACAAGTAAGCATGAACCATCTTTATGGTAGGTTTTATCCCACATGGGCCGAGTGACGTCCTATGATCGTATTTGCTCCCCTCATGAGAGAAGAATCCTTCAGTATGTTTTAGGAGGGGAAAATTGACGGCTCCGTGGTTTCTTTTGGTGAAAGAACTTAGCCAACAGGTCCATGAGCCCCTGACATATGCACTGAAGAAATCTCAGCTTATTCCTAGCCTAAGCCTCGGAGAGCATGATAGGGTGGAGGCTAACATCGCCATACTAGATAGCCATTGCACCAATGTGAAGAGACGCTAAATAATGTTATGTGTCATAGCCCTTTCTGGGCGAGACAAACGCCAATAAAGAGTGTACAGGTAAAAGCCTCAGTGCAGTTCTTCGGTGCAGCTAAAAATCCAAGCAAAGATTGATTGAAGGTGACATCACCTTTCCAACTTTCTCATCTGCTGCAATGGAATGGATATTGGTCCCATAAGGGTAAGATGATAACTTCGATCGCTTGCAAAACCCCCATTATTTTCACCACCAAAAAATATCTGTGAAAAACAATGAGACCGAAGCAACGCACTCAAATTTGCCCCAGCCCAGGACACGCACTTGTATTGATGCCCAAACAATTGAATCTCACACGAAAGTGTTCGTGTGAGATTTGAGAGATGACTTCAGGTTTGTGAGGTGCAGAAACCCGCTCGAGTGAATAGTTTGCAATCGTAGAGCTGACAATTACAGAAAACTGTACGCGTCATGTATGGAAAACAGAAGATACTCTGGCAAGAGTGAGATTACATCGTTCAAACGACCCTTTCACTGGTCTAGGTGCGAAAGGTATGATTTTCATTCATACCACGTTGCCGATCATTTCTAGATCGCTTCCAGTGACATAACTTGATATCTTGAGGCTCGATCAACCGAATGGCTTTCTATATCTGTGTCAAAGCTTGGGAGGTAGGTACGAGTTTTGGGTGAAACAAGGGATGCAAGAAAGATCTCAGACAGCGTCCAGGCAATGAAGTCGATAGGTGCCGAGAGTTGAGCCTCTTCGAGCACGACAATGCAAGCTTATTTTTGTCAGCATTCCGATTCTTTGCATCAATGAGACATTATATATGCAGTAAAAATCACACACTCTCAGCCTCATCTTATGACTACACCTGCTCTACTAATGAGAATCCGCTGACAAGTGACATCCTCAAAAGTAGTGCAATTGATGACATTAAGAGCATTTTTGTGATGTTTTCGAATCCCAAGTGAGTAGGATCTAATGGCACATCTTCATAGTGGTGAACTATAGCAGTTTTCCCACCTTCGCAATCTAACTTGGGTCAGATAGTTATGTTGATCCTGATTAGGATTGTAGTTCCACAAATGCGCTGACCGAATATGCAAGTAAGAGTCTCAAGCCGTGATCGGGATATCAGAGGGGTTTGTTTTGTAGTAGACTTGCTTGGACAGCGGTTACAATGTTTGGATTTCGATAGAAGATAGGAACTGGTACCGGAGAAACTATCACATATGCCAGTGGGAGCTGACCACGCAACCTCGAATTTTATCTGGCAATATAAGATAATGCGAGAAACATACGCGAACGATACTGCCCAACATCTAAGCTCTAATTTGGCATATTCCCGTTCAAACTTCAGCTACATCTGAAGCCTAGTGAATGATTGATGACCAACATTGTGCGAATTCATACACCGTGTAAGTATCTAAAAGCAAGAGGTTTGTTCTGGATATTTTTGAGGAACTCCCATGTGAAGATACTACAAGCTACGCAGACTTGGAGTTAGTAGTTGTATGGCAAAGCAGCCTGAAGAAAATGAAAATTTAACACTCATCACAAAAACGTGATTCGCGAAACAATAAAGTGTTTATAGAACTATTTGTGTGTCTCGAAGCATCCTATGACTATGACTTTCTTGCAATAGTGACAGTATACTTCTGGTACAAGCCTTCCTCAGAATTGATGTCATGAAGACATGCTCTCGTCAATGTGTCCAATTTCTCTCCACTTATGCTAATAGCTCCAAGCATTTTGCGAAGTAACTCCGGATACTGTGGTATCAATTTAGCTTGAACATACCTCGCCATTGCTTGACTTTGGGGCGATTTGCTCGATGCCGAAAATGAAAACTCAAAACTTTCGATGTTGGTCACCTCCAGACCACAATCTCTCATTAGCGCTGCTGCTCCAGAGCCAGAGATTGTCGATAACCCGGACTTTTGAGCCCCGGATAAGATTGCTTTGTGCCACTCCCAATCGTCGCTCACGCACTCTGAAGTCCCGGCGCGATAAAATTTCCAGTCTAAATCCTGATGTTCAATCATACCACCGGACTTCAATGCATGTGAAGTGTTTGAAAAGTACTTTGGCCAATTGTTGATACCTAAGAAAAGCATGCGGCCGAAAATATAATCCAATCCTTCCGGATTGAGTATTTCGCGGCTTAGAATACCATCATCTGGTTGGTTGTAGTCAACATCCAATGCATTTCCTTGAGCCCAGACCACGTTACCCGGTGCCATTTTCTTTGAATCCTCTGGCACTGGGGTTAGATCGAGACCGTAAATGGTGGCAGATGGCAAGATTGTAGCAATCTGGATGGTCGCTACACCAGTACCACAGCCAATACTAGCCCATCCAAAATCAGCAACTGCATGGTACTATTGGTAGCATTGTGTAGTGGTTAAAACATATATACAAGAAGCATGCAACTGAGTCCCTCAATCGGCTCTGTCGTAATTTAAGAACTGATTGTACTTACTCGACCACCTTGGAAATATTATCAAGTGTTTGTAATGGAGCTAAGAAAGGGAAGCCGCCAATCATCTCGACAATAGCAGCTGCCTGAGTATCAAGCCGATCCTGCTCAATGACGCTATGGTAATGAGATTAGTAGAGCTTCCAGTGATTGAAGACCATGAACCTACTCATTTGCTTTTGGGAGCACATAAGCCGCGTTCGTGTCATGGTATCGCTGTTGGCTATTAACTTTAACTGTTGTCATATTGAAAATGCGATCTGTGTTATAATGGGAAATTGATAATTGATCAACAAATTTAAATGAAATGAGTTGTGTTTAGCAATGCTCGTTTTGCAAGAGAAGTCCTGTCATATTGTATCTGAAGGAGTTGGAGTTGATACTTGAGGCTCCTCCCACGGCGGGCGCGATGAGATGGCATACTGCATCCTTGACATGTGCGATCCATGATAAGCTGATCCCCGTGTATGCAGATTTATATGCAGAAATGTATGCCGTATGAATTATTTGGAATGTGGAAGGTCTACAAATTGCTTGGCATGAGGTTCAAGGAGAGTGTGCCGCTAATACTATTCAAGGTTAGCTTATAAATGTCCTCGGCATCCCACATATCGCCAGACCATCCAAAAAGATTCACCAGTGTGAGAACATGCAAGTAATGTTTGAAATCATGGTGACAAAACCCCCTCGGCTCAATATTAGAAAGGGTCCGTATCTCTTGTGTGAGGTGATCAGGTATTGCTGCAGCTATATTCATTAGCTATGAATAGGTAGGTAAAATACGCAAATATGCCTACATTTCGAGAAGTCCAAGTTCATCATCTCTATACTATACTCTGCAAACGAACATCTCTTCTCAATGACAGTCTGATGTGAATTGATTCAACTAAGGTGCAAAGATATAACTAGCTTTCTCCTTCTTTAATGGACCAAACCACTTCACCAATTATTGAGCGCTCTACCGGCGAAGATACCATCATGATGTCCTCCCGTCCACCACCTGCTTCAGTTGAGGACCACAACAAGGAAAGCTACAATATTTCTCCTTCGAGTGATACATTTCTCGAAAATGGTAGTAGTACACCACCAAAGATTGGAATTCCCAGCCTGCTAAGACAGAATGTCTTCATGGCTTTTATCACCTTAACCCAACTAGTTCAAATGATCCCTCTGGGGGCCGGTATTAATTCTAGTTTTGCTATCGGAGCAGCATTGGGAGCAACAGAAGCGCAGTCGGTCTGGATAGTTGCTTCATACCCTTTAACTCAAGGGACTTTCGTTCTGATTGGTAAGACAATCCATCAAACTGCATTGTTATGCAAACGATTGGCATGAGGATAGCTGACATGTCGTTATCTTAAAGGAGGTCGTCTAGGCGCAGTCTATGGTCACAAGAACGTCTTCACCGCCGGTTGTGTTTGGTGGACTCTCTGGGCATTGTGCGGTGGATTTTCTGATAACTTAATATCGATGTGTATCATGAGAGGATTATGTGGAATAGGCGGCGGTCTGATGATACCAAATATTGTGGCTTTGCTAGGCATCACTTTTCCGCCTGGAAAGAAGCGAAATTTGAGTTTTGCTTTATTTGGCGCCATGGCACCAGTCGGCGCTGCTGGTGGATCTCTTGTTGGTGCGGTTATTATCCAACTTTCCGATTGGAAATGGCTTTTTTTTATGCTGTAAGCTGCCTTGGTATGGTACGTGAGTCTCATGTACTGATAGCAATTAGTGGTCTACTTGGGTTTGTTGTTTACGGAGTTACGATCATGGCTGTTGATGCGGATATTCCCATTGATCCAAAGGGTACCGTGGACTGGGTTGGCTCTTACCTAGGAGTCGCTGCTCTCATCCTTTTTAATTTTGTCTGGAAGTAGGTTGTGGAACCTCATTATATTATACGGAAAAAGCTAACATGTTTTTAGTCAAGCACCACTCGTTGGATGGGACAGTCCTTACGAGATCGCACTTCTTGTTGTGTCTATAGTTCATTTTGCTGGATTCGTATACTGGGAAATAAAAGTCGCCAAAGAACCAATTCTACCATTCAACATCTGGAAGGCCCCCTCATTCGGAATTTTGATGTTGGCTGTTTTCTTCTCATTCATGAGCCTGGGTATCTTTTTTTGGTATATGAATGCATATATGCAAAACATCCGCGGGGACAGTCTCATTCTTACTGGTGTGCAGTACTTGCCACTTACTATAGTTGGATGTGCGACCGCTTTTCTCGCAGCATGGCTGGTTCCTCGAGTACCGGCGCAGGTCATCATTAGCCTGGGATGCTCGGCAATGGTCATTATCAACGTCCTTCTCTCGACTATTCCTGCAAATCTCACTTACTGGGCGATGGCATTCCCCGCAATGTTCATATCTGCTTTTACCATCGATCTGATCACCACCAGCGCTCAGATCATCGCATGTAACACTGTTCCAATGAAGCATCAAGGTGTCGCAGGTTCATTAATAGGCACACTCCTTGGTTATGGGCTGAGCACTGGTCTGGGTATCGCCGGAACTATAGAAGTGAACACTAACGACAATGGGAAGGATCTTCTTAAGGGTTATCATAGTGCTGCATACTTGGGAGTTGGTTTGGCGAGCGCTGCTCTCATTATTAGCGTTGTATTCATACGTATTCCTAAGGATACCCGGGAAGGCTGGGCGGAGGATGACACACATGCTAGAGAGAGAGGCCAATTATAGGGTAAAAACAGATAGCTGGTGACCTTTTCGAGGATGAATAAAAATTGAGTTTGAGATTTATATTATCTCATTGTTCTAACAGTTGTATCGTCTAACTTGTGGGGCAGCAGGACAGTTGGCTGACGGTTCAACGACTAAGGGTTCATCAATCAAGAAAGCTTCTTGAGGTTAAATTCAATGTATAGTCCGTCCGCACACACATCAATCTTGAAATAAAGACGAAGAATATTTTGTTATTTATTGTTCTTAGTCAACTTGCTAGGAAGATGCATGTTTGTAAAAATTAATACCCTAGCATACGATTGTCATTCAGCGCCCGTATGAAGATGTCACTTAATGATCGCACACCTTCTCTTTCACGATAAAAATCTACTATCAGAGTCAACACAGACAGTAATATCTCCATAATTGGTTCTAGCATTTGAACATAAGCCTGTAGCTCTTAGGGTGTTAATGCAGTGAAAGCTACATTTTGATCCTTGACAGCGCGTCTGCTATCTGCTCATTGAATTGATATCCATTGCTAGTCATACAAAAGCTTGCTTCCATGCTCTACTTTCTCTCAAACAGAACTTTAGAAGTTCTGAACGGAATACGGCTGTATATTTATGCCCTTAATTTTGCCCTGCGCTGCCAAAACACTGCTTACATTCTTTAATGCATTTTCATGAAAAACAGCGAAATCTGTATCACGTCGTTAGAACATGTTACTTGTATAAAAGATTGAACTGGCATACTCCTCGCGTGTCCTGTCTCACAGGCATAGATGCTCCATCTTATTGCGGTTTCATATTTGAAAATATAAGTACTCTCCAAAGTGACCCAGTATCCACCGAAAGAGCCATTGCCAGAATTGTACGCCACGGGAACGGTGGAGGCAAGTTGCTCGAATTTTTCAATGAATCCTCCGCGAGAGTCGATCTTGAGGTCTGTTAACTACGGAGGGCAATGTCAGAATTTATTTAAATCAAGGCCGGGTGACCGTAGATCTTGGTGGTAAATTTTGACATATTTACCTTCTCTGAGATACTATAAGTGCCAACTTTTGTTGGTAGGTAGGAAGTGCGAATGGAAACACCAGGCTTGTTCTCCGGGCCACGGGTTTCATAAGGTACGACTCCGAGCCAGGCGGACTTATAATCTTGTTGAAGAACAAATCAGTATCGATTTCATCAACATAAGATGCTTCACTCACAATCCATGATAAGACCCTTAACATCGATTGCACTGGCTCCAACTACAGACCATGTAGAAGATTCCCAGTAATCTGTACCGGCAGGACATATACATGGTAGGATCGAGTCGGTTGAGCAGCGTGCAGAATATTCTCTTCTGTGCGCTAACGCTGTCACAACTAATGTAGCATAAATGGTAAGAGTAGTGGTGAACTTCATTTTGAGTGAAGATAGGGCTAGAAGGGCAATTTCAACGTAGATGGGTTTACACTAAGTGAAGTGGATATGTGAGGTGATATAAGTGGGTGAAAAATCTATGGTCACCAGAAGTTTGGCTTCACACTCGTCGTGGTCTGAAAAATGCTGCCTACAATCCACATGTTTTGGAAGGCTGTAGAAAATGAGAGGCGTCATGGTAGCTCACCGAGTCTGACAGAATTTCTTGGCTCAGGGGTTTCCCATGTCTCGGCGTCATGTGAGGGGCGTGAGACATGATGATATTGTTGCCGATGGCTTACAGCGAGCTCACAGACTTCCCCGCCACAGCCCCGTCGCCTCGTATCTTAGCCCTCTATTTCACAACCCGATGACAAGCATCAATCCCATCAGCATATCCCTACCTGCTGACCGCCTATGCGTTGACTTTCGTCGCCAAAACGTTTCTGCACCTCGTGGATAAGCAGTCATGTTTGGCTTTGACTTTAGATGAAGCATTGTGGCTTCATCTTTTTTAATTTGCCAAGGCTTTTGACACGAGGAGTCTTTCGATATGATACTGGGATGTCACTGTCTTGAAATCTGGGTGGAGCTTTCCAGTCGCCGGCTTCTGACCTCAGATCGAGTCTTCTGAACAATCCTTCGAATTATTCTCAGGGCAGAGTCGTCGTTGAAGATCCGAGCTGAATGTTTATATCTGGTTACAACGACTGTTAGTATCATAGTTAGGCTGGAGGGCTGACATACGACGTATGTTCGGTTAGTCGGCAGAGTTTACGGAGGAAATGTTCCTACGATGAAACACGATTATACCTCGGGCTCGTTGAAGGAAGTGATGAGGCGGACTTTCCCTCAGGGCGTTCTCGGCTGAGAATTTAAAGGATGTGTGGGCAAGATTGAGACTTTCTGTGGAATTGGAAATGTTCACTCTCATATGGTTCATTAGAAAAGAAGACGTCTCATTCTACAAATATCAATGTCCTCCCAGACAAGTCTCTGTGCTACAGTTTGTGATATATAAAACTTCGTCGTCAAAATGAGATTCACTATCTTCTCTTATTTCTTCCTTCTAGCCAATATTTCATTAATTTCTGCAGGCTACGGACATGATCATGACAATACCCAAGCAGAGGCTTCCAAACAAATCGACAAATGGCAAGATCAATATGATCAATACATCAAAACTTCAATCAAGCACCAGAGAGTGGGATGTACATCTCAAAATATAGTCTATCGTCAAGAATGGTAAGATCCCACACAGTGAAGTTGAAGGACTATTGCTAATTGTTTCTCAGGGGATCGCTTTCAGAACGTTCTCGTAAAGATTATATTAAGGCTATTCAATGCTTACAATCAAAGCCCCCCAGAAGTACTAAAGAAGATGTGCCTGGTGCACGAAGTCGATATGATGATTTCAGCGCTACTCACATCAAAGTGACACCTTATGTACACTTCAGCGTAAGCTCTTTTGTCCAGATGTAGGAACCTCATCACTAACGATAAACAGGGTCTCTTTCTTCACTTCCACCGCTACCTAGTATATCTCTACGAAAAAGCTCTTCGTGAAGAATGTGGCTACAAAGGATACCAACCCTACTGGGACTGGACACTTTCCTGGGAAGATCCGCGTAAATCCAGCGTTTTCAACGGCTCTCCAACATCTATGGGAAGCAATGGTGCCTTTATACCCAATCGTACCAGCACGACCATCTCCGCATTCGGGATCACTCTAAACATCCCTCCTGCAACAGGTGGCGGTTGTATATCCGGCCCTTTCTCAAATAATTATACCGTGAATCTTGGTCCCATCGCTTACGCCCCCTATGGTCCCGATCACGGTCTAGGATACAATCCCCGCTGTCTATCGCGCGATATCTCAACTGTTTGGTCTAACAACACGAAACCTTCCGACGTTGTGAAACTCATCAAAAATAGTCCGGATCTAGGAACATTCGATACGAATCTCGAAGCGCTAGATGGGGTTCACGCAGGTGGACATTTCTCAATGGGTGGATTAGGTCTGGATGCCTATGCCAGTGCGGGAGATCCAGCTTTTTGGTTGCATCATGCTATGGTGGATAGGGTCTGGAGTTTGTGGCAGAGTTTAAGTGCAGGTAACAGAACGAAAATGGTTTATGGGACAGGGACGGCCTTTAATAGTGAGTTATCTTTCGATGGAGGGGAAAACTGAAGTTTTGCTAATTTTTGTCTCTAGCACCTCCGAGTGCGAATATTACGCTTGATACACTAGTTGATTTTGGTATCTTGGCACCGAAACAGAAGATCAGTAGTTTGATTTCGACGATCGAGGGTGCTTTTTGTTATGCTTATGTTTAGTTGTTTTGGTTGATGTCGATCGGAGCTTGAGGCAGCGTTCATTGTGTAGCTGTGGATGTTTAAGATTTTGCAATGCTTTTCGGATTCCTCTTTTGGTTCCATACGGTCTCATATAGAATGGTTTGATTATCTCATTGAAGTTCTGTACATGTAGACAGACTTGGATAAGTACATTATACTATAGTTTTGTCATTCACAACAAGAAAAAACAAATATGAAATATTAATGAATGGTTAGCATGCTCTGGGCGATAGGTTCACGAAAAGCTCGCAAATTCACAGAGAACACTGTATCATCTTGCACATTATTGATCGTCTACTTCAATAGGTTTACTTAATCAACGTTAGATTGTGAGATTATGTTACTGCCATTTTTTGCAAATAAAAAACAAACAGAAAACAGTCTATTCATGCCAAACTCTTGATTAATTCCGCCAATTCATGCTCACTCAATTGTTTGATTCCCAAAAGGTCGTTGTCCAATTTATGATAGGCCTCGAAGTGCGATCCATATCCCTCACCCCAGATCGAAGCAATGATGAATGGCATGGCGAACTTATGTGGGTCTGGCTGTGGTTTCTTCAATTCTTCCCATGCGCCCGCTACGATATCATCAACCGATGCAACAGTCTCAGTCCAACCATCTGATCCTAAAGCCTTCTTTCCAATTTCCGCGAGGTTCTTAAGGGTAGTTGCGTAACTTTGAATATAGACCGCACGATTCTTTGTTTCTTCTGGGTGCTTGAGTACACCAGCTACAGCTCGTCCGATGTCTGGGAGAGTAGTGGTACTGAAAGTTCGATTGCCCCCATCATAAAGTGTGATGCTTTTTCCCTTTGCACTCATAACGAATCCAACCGACAAGCCCCAATCAAGAAATGCACCATTTACCACAAGAGTGTATGAAAACTCGCTAGAAACATGCTTCTTGAGAGCATTTTGGACAGCAATTTTAGGTTGGAAAACTGGCAAGGCTCCAGTATTTTCTCTAGGCGTATTTGATCCGAACTCAGAGGGAATGAATCGCTTGACATGAGCTTTAACCGCTGCTTCAACGAGAAGGAGCTGCTTGTCTAAGCTGGCTGAGGCGAGAGTCGATACAACGGCATCTTGTCCTGTAAGAGCATTGGTGAGTGACTCGAAGGAGTCGTAGTCGACTTCCTTGACTGTAACAGGAGATGGAAATTTGTGAGTGCTCGATTGTCGAGTAAGAACTGTGACTTGAAAGCCGGCTTTAAGGAGTTGATCAAGGATTGCTGGGCCAAGATTCCCAGAAGCCTACATGAATGTTAGGCACAGATCTCAGAGAAAATGGATAAGTTCTTACTCCTGCCAACGCAACTTTCGTGATGCCGGACATCTTGTAGATACGTAAAGGGTTTATCGTGGTGGTTTGTGTTATTGCTATTAAAATAAAAAACGTACGATGAGATGCTGAATGATGGTTTAGTCTGGAAAGTGGTAGACTTGTATAGGTACTATATAGCTATCATAGAAACCGTTCATCGCGGTGTGTAATGAGGGATGAGCTGCCCGATGACAAACCGCCCTCACGGCAACGATACATTCGGTCTACAGCATCGCCATTATTTGTAAGCAAATTCCTATGGCACAATCTACGCATTTGCATTGCGCAATTTCGCGGGCCATCCCACATCCCACATCCCACATGCCACCGGCCGCTATTCACCCCTTGCTTTGGCCTACGGGAAGAAGCGCTTAGCAAACCTTGGAACGCTTGGCAAACCTAAGAAAGTCGAATTCACGAGTGAGCCAATGAATCAGAAGAACCGTAGATTCTGGGAGGCTGAGGGCTTATTAGCTGGGTACACGGAAAGCACATCATCATCCTGATCCTTTGTGTTATTTCTAATCCAATAATGCCCAGGTGAGCTTGGGTCAGCCACAAATGAGAACGTTAGGTGTGGCTGGTGATAACTTACATAATCACACACTCTCTTTCCGGCTTCAGACGCGTCTTCATCAGCACCTGGGCAAACCTGGAACAATCACACTCTTCTAAACTCGAGTTAGCACTTTCTTTGATCCTCTGGCACATCAAGTCACAAACAGTCGTAACATCGTATCGATGTAATTCTTTCCAGCCAGATCTTTGGCGATGCAGGATTTAATACTTGCAACTGTGAAAATCACAGTCCTCTCGCTTTCGTATTCAAACACAGAGCTTGGCTAATAAGCAGTGCATTTCGGGTCATTCACCAATTGGTGGATGTCTTACTCCTCTTTTGAACTTCACACTTTATATTCTTTCCCATTTGCTTTCCTACATATATTTCAATCCACCGGCAATAAATTGCGTACAACAAGATGCCACAGACTTCTCCCACTGCATTTGTCACCCCACAAGCAGAGGATGATTCATCTCCAATTCGTACACGACCAATAGCAAAACGCATCAAATGCAATGTGTCTGAATGTGGGAAGCTCTTCAGTCGCAAAGAACACCTTACTCGTCACATGAAGTCACATGATCCCAATCTTCAACATGAATGTCCTGTATGTGGTCGGCGATATGCGCGAAGGTAATTCAGCCCTTCATTCATCCGAAGAAGTAAGTTGAACATTGCTTACAGTCTATCCAGTGACGTATTGAAGAGGCATCTAGATCATCATGCTCAGAATTCAAGTACTAAACGTACAATGGTTGCATGCACATCCTGCCATGAGCGAAAGCTCAAGTGTGATGACACATCACCTTGTCGATCATGTATTCGCACTTTAACAGAATGTAGCCGATTGATTGATGCTAGGACTAATCGTACGAAAGTCGATAGTGTGGGCGTGAATGAGACTATCATAGGGAACAATGCGGTCAACGCTCACAATTCAAATCAGGACTCTGATCATTCACATCCCTGGTTTCAATCTGAAGATTCATCGTTTTCTTTACCTCCATATTCCGATGCGACCCTTGAGCTATTGTTTCAAGATGAAGTTGTTCCCAGCGGGAACTTTTCTTGGAGTCAACAACAGTCTGCGGGAGAAAATCTTACAGGTTTCTTCCACGTACCTCTGTCTGACGATGCTTCAATCTCTCTGCATGCTTTCAATGATCCGAACAAGTCTCGGATGAATGCAATTTGTTATGATGCCGAATCTAGTGACAGAACCAGGTCAAATTTTGCATCACAATCACCGTTATCATCATTATCCTCTGAGCAAGATCATTTATCGGAATTACGTAGAACACTGAGTCAAGATCAAGGTCATCTGAACGGGCTTCTCGAAGTTTATTTCACCAAAATTCACCCATCCTGGCCCATTTTACACGCTCCCACGTTCAACCCTCAAAGTGTTTCGCCGATCTTGCTAGGCTCTATGTTAATGCTTGCGAATTGGTTGGATGGAAGTCAGGAGCATGAAAAACTTGCGTTGGTTGTATTTGAAGCAATATTAGCTGCTCGATTGGTAATTTATACCCTCTGAGGATCAATGTCTACCATCTCTAATCTAGATTTGCAGGAAGTTCATCTCTCACTGGACAAGGAGATTGATCAATCGTCGCTTCAAAATCTCCAAGGTCTTCTTTTGTGTGTTGTGTACACAATTTCTCTTTTGGTGAGTTACGTTTACAAGTGTGAGACTTCACGTCATTTTTCGCTCACTACTGATAATTTCATAGACCACTAAAGGGATGTCGTCAAGAGCTGTTTATCTTAATGGTGCACTGATCTCAACATGTCGTCATGCTGGTATCTTCAATGGGCAGAACACATATTATGAGCTGGGTGACTGTCCATTTGATCTTTGGCTGGTTCAAGAACAACTTCACAGGTACCAAGATTCTCATGGATTCTGCGTCACTTTGTCTACGCCGTATGCTGACAGCAACTAGACTTGCGTTCTCCAGTCTGAGAGTGGATGCTTATCTTAGCGTCCTTATGGATTATCCACCTTCTGTTCGTTATCAGGAGATCAGCATTCCCCTTCCAAAGTCTACAAAGCTATGGACTGCGGCAACTGATGAAGAAAGACGAAAACTTCAGTGGCATGAACCTGCAGGTCGCGAGAAAGCCCTGTTCTGCTTTCTCATGCGCGATCTTATTGATGCTAGCGAAAACCAGTCAGTCTCGTATCATCTCACTGATAATGACTATCATCTCGGACTTTGTTCCCTACAGATTGGCACTTGGGAAACGGCTCGCGAAGCTTTCTGCTGTTGTGATTCAGATGAGCTGATAACGGATCCAAAAAGAAGCGATCCAGTACATCGATGGGGCTCTCAACTCAATCGTTGGCGTACAAGAATGGAAAATTATGCTCAATTGCACCCAGAGATCAACTCTACTGAGTCCAACGATGATCGCATATTTCCACGACTGAACCTCGTACTATGGCATATATCGGCACTCACGGTTCATGCACCCCTAAAGCTCTTACAACGACAAGGATGTTGCTTCAAATGTCGTCCCGGAGCCGGTTTGACTACACAAAGAACAAGAGCGCGTCTAAGTAGCTGGATGCTTTCACCACACCCTCGTACCGCCCTTTGGAATGCTGGTCAGATCTGTCAGCTAGCAGAATTAAACTTCTCGAATAGCTCATCTAATAATGATCCTTTGCTCAATCCACTTGCAATGCCTGGAATTCTAAAGAGTGCCATTGCTGTTTGTTCTTATGCATATCATATTCGTGCCTGTTTTGGATGCACTAGTGTATTAGGAGATTCGATCGATCTATTCAATGCATCTCATAAAGACGACAAATTAAAGAATTGGACGGAACACGGAATTGGAATGGCTATCTGGGGTACAGAAGCAATTCCAGTCTGCCATTGTAGATTTAATGATCTGGAAATGTGGTTTCGGGAGAGATTTGTCAGAGATCCAGGTGCCGATAAACAATTCACTTCATTTCTTGCAGGCTTGGGCGAATGAAACATTGCGTTCTTTCTACACTAAAAGCAACTTCTCTTATCTTTTACATCAGGAAGGCATGAGAAGAAAATATTGACAACACACGAGCTTGTAATTCTATCTACATTGGCGCCAGGTTCTCAAGGGAAAGACTGGAACGTGCTGATTGTTGGGTTTTCACCACATATCGAGTGGAACGATCAAGCTGGGGTAAATAAGAATCTAGAACGGATGCCTAAAGCGAGGACGCTGCATATGGGCTGCAAAGATAGAACAAAACTGTGTCATCCAGAAATGAGCATCATGTAGAGCTTGGAGTTGGACTCACATTAAGATGTGACTTATTATACAAACCTCGCTTGACAAAGGAGTAGAACAGTCGAAGATCTTAGTCCCAACAACTCTGCGCACAACCTTCGTTTTGGGGTTGTTTCAGACAACATTAAGATAGAGCGTGCATTGAGAAAGACTGGTCGAATATTTGGCTGACTATCTCACTTCACAGACTAGCAGTCTGTCACGAGAAATATGGTGGTCACCGCAGAAAATGTTTGAGTAAGAAAATGAATCGTAGACAGTATTTCCGCAGTTGTCGTTCTGTCGTATTTCTTCCTTGATATCTGTGCCACTCATCACGCAAAGTAACTTTGGTTGGAGGTCTTTTTTCAAGGCAAAAATGATAAAAATCTTCAGCCAATCACATAGGTATTTTACATTCGGCCTGGAGAATGATAGCAGAAATTTGAGGTGCCTAAATTGTGGCTTTACACATATTGCTCCTATCAATTACCCCGTGCTTACCGGAATGCAGCGGGAAACCTTGGCTTCATCTATCTATACTTCGTGATTGGTGTCAGGCAAAACATGGCGTGCGGAAAGTGAGGCTAGGCTTCTTGATTCTTTCACATTGTGCGCACTGCCTCCACGGGGAAAATGCAGATCTAATATTGCACATTGTGGGAGAAATAATATCGTTCTTATACAAATTCATGATTTTGTTTCTTGTTTAAACATGATATCGATGCGATCGCAAAAATGGCAATTTACAGTTCGAATGGTATTCTCATAGCGATAACTACGACCTTTCTGTGGGCGGTCATAGATGCTGCCAACGTCAATGCTACTGGCTCTACTGATGGACCTATTGGCGCGCATAATAGCGATCCGAGTGTTCACTGCTCGAAAACCCGATGGTACAATGTGTTATTTTTCTATCTCAGCAATTAGTAAGACGCACAGCAATTTCCTTGATGGTAAGCTAAGTATTCTATAGTTCCATTCACGCAGCAACTGTTCGCTCTCTTCCGAGAGAAAGTGCATGGGCATCTGCTGCGTACAAGGCTTGCTGTCTGTTGGTTCCTTACGCAGGAGTCCGCCGAGGATTAAATGTATTCTTGAGGGCCAGCATGTTGGCAAACACACCTCTCCAAATGGCAGCACGAGCGAATGCATTATGCATGGTAGTACGTTCACAAGACTGGAGGCCCAGGGACGGGGACTTTATTCGTGGTTGTGCACTTGATGCAGCTATTCCTGATAATGACTGTCAAGGTTCCTGTGGACCTAATTTTCTTGACAAAAGCACAACGATTGAACATATGAAGATGACAGACTTTCATGCATGCACGTCAGAGATACAATCAGAGACTTCAAATAGCACGAATCCCCGCGAGGTTATTCTACATGTCAGAGCCCCGTATGCGCACTATGCACCAAAATCAAAATGGGCCCAGTTGGGTTTCTTTATGCTCCAATCTTACCGTTTCCGCGCGATGTCTCTGGATCAGCAGTTGGTACGTGTAGGTGATATTGAACTACATGGCCTTTGTCAATTACCTTCAGGCTTTACGCTTTGTTTTGTACCACCACATATGGCTATTAATCCTCGTCATACTGTTTCTGGTATCGGATCCTCCATGGCCATCTCTTCACAATTCTCTGCGTTGCAGGTATTATGGTCCATTGCTCAAACATGTATAGGGTCGTATACGCTGTACCAATCGAGGGGTTCACAGTTAGAAATTTACGGATACGCTGCCTTCGGGTTGACCGTAATACCCTATGTGATTGCTAGCATTATCAATCTGCTAGCAAGCTTGGTCAGTAGGCAATACGATAATGTCTTCTTGGTTCATTCATCGATCATGGATGAAGCAATTAATCGCGGTGCAGTTGTGGATGGAGTAGTTGGATCTATCGACCGAGTAGAGGATGAAGGCGAAAACTTAACTAGCGAGGATGAATTAGGCAAGCTCGGTAACTCGGCCGTCGTGTTCAGAGGTAATATGAATGTAGAAGGACGATTCAGTTGCGAAGTTGACACGGCTGAAGATCTGCTAGCATACACACTCATGCCCCCAGAACCCCCTTCTTGTACACCACCGACCAAGATTCAAAGATTGAAAAGATATCTCCTAGATATCTTTGAAGACCCTTCTAAAGTTGAAAAGCGTCTGGCCTCGAGCATTCAAGCTCTAAAGAAAGAGAAATGTATACTCAGCATACCCTCCCATAGTTCCTTCACGCGTTTGGCCCCAACACATCTCGAACCTATCCTCCTCTTCCTCGCCTCTTTGATTCTCATCACTGCCGTCGCAGCTCCCTACATCATAATTTACATTCTCACCGGCTGGCAAAAGAGACAAGCAACCTCCACCCAAATTAATTTTACTATTCATTGGCTATGTCTGGGGCATTCAAGCTGATTATTCATCGCGGAATTTGAGAGACATACTAGGAGGACTTATTGGGGATGGATACTACTTTTTGTGGTGGTTTGTTATAGTTGGGCTCCCACTGGGGGCTTGGTTGTTGTGGCACAGGAAATGTATGAGTTTGGGCATTGTGAGTCTTTGTGAATTGTTTGCAGTGGTTATGTGATTTGCAAATAGATCAGATAAGAGCATTTTAGATTCCTCTGTTTAAGTGATCATGCCCATGTGATTCATTTCCAGTGAATTCTACTACCAGAATTTGCAAACCGATCAATATCAATCTTCCATACACGTCTACGAACATTGAAATAAGCACCGTTCAATTTAATCCAATGATCCAATTTTTTCTACAACGATTTATTTAGTTTTCATATACAAGTGCTTTGGTAGTTGACTCCAAGGCTAGAAGCTCAAGGGATAGGGTCTATAATATGAATATGGCATGCCTAATTACGTCTCTTTACGGTTGTTCAATCATTGTTTAACCATGACGCTGTATGTTTGATCTCGATTTTTAGTACAGATAACGAGGAATCTATAAAAATGCTTCCTACATCGGAATATGAAGACAAATACTTCGAGAACAACTCTCAGATTCATCGAGAAACCGAAAATACCAAACCGACCAGATCCACAAACGTCAGCAGACTCCAATCCAACACCAAAGATGTGCAACCCGGTCATCTACCTCTGCCAGCACCTTCCCACCGTCGTAAGCCCTACTCCCTGGCTTAGCTGCTCCTCCCACCCTGCCCAGTACCAAAGCAACAGAATCATTCCTATGAGTTTTTTCTGTAAACCTGCGCCAGGAACCATCGTTGTGCGACGTCCACCCGTTAAAATATTTTGTCAGCGATGTCGTGATAAGTGGAGACTAGGAGGATTCTATGAGATAGAAGCTACGGCAAGTATTGCGAGGGTGGATAGAGCGTTGGCGGGAACAGAATTTCGGTTGACGAGAGAAGAAATTCAAGAGGGCTTGAGGAAGGCAGATGAGTTATTTAGACGTGAGGGATTTTGAGTTTTGAGGCAGAGGCAGAGGGGCTTGGAAGGTAGTGGGTTTTATTCTGAGGAGTTATTCGATGGGAGGGTGATGAGAAGTGGTAGGTTGATATAACGTCATATCGATGTTTAAGCGGCGTATAGATTTACAGCCAGCCAATACTACCTTCCGAGGTTGGCCACGGACGAAGACTATCGAGACCAATTCACTAGGTATATTCTAGATACCTCTATTGTCCAATGAGCATCTTACTGGGATATGCTTCTAAGTACCTAGGTACTTCACATCAAAGCTAGCGGGCCGGGGAGCAGTTAGTTATTTTCAAAAAGGGTTCATCACGGAGAGAGTGGCAGGAGATGATTTCTGGGGACTTTCATCCTTGGATTGAGGTATTCAAGGGAGATCAAAGCTAACCTTTTACTCTATTCTTGAGCTTCGGCTCAGGAGGCACTGCTTCTCATGAAGGGATGTTGGGGTGGAATACAAGATATCTAGATTGTCGAAAGGTCTTTCATTTGTATTTCCCGGCCCTCGTGAAGGTATTTGAAATTCATTAATGGACTAGAATATCTCTTCCCGATATCAGCGTACTCAATTTTTCATCGCAGTTCCAAACTACTCGATGTCTACCGCTCGGTGAGAAAAATCATTACTTTTAATTTCAACTACAAGCCGTGAACGATTGTAACCTAGCTCTCAATTGAAACAGTCAACATTTTTCTCTTATTCATTCAAGTCGATTGATACAATCATTACCCAATCATTCATTTAAATTCAAACAATGGACATTCAATCATCCATATCAACTCGTACTTTGGATGTACATTAATTCAACCCAATCCAGACATTGCCCTTCTATCTACCCAAAATAAATCATAAGAACCCAGGCTCTGCATACTAAGAGAATTTTAAACAATCATTTCCACTCAAGGCTTTGTAGCATAAAACTTCGGCTTCGGCGGCTTCGGAATCTCCTTGATTTCCATAACCTTCCTTCTACACCACGGATCCGAACAAGGACAATCCACCCACTTCTCCTCGTGCGTAGGATTCGCCACCTTCTTTTCCCATGTCTCCTGTTTCTCTTTTATTTTCTTGCACTTTTCACAATCCGGATCCGTACATTCGTAGTCGATGTATATTTTATGACAACGATGGGCATCTTCCACACAAGCCGTAAGACCGCAACGTCCATTACATTTAACCATTTCATGTTCACGCGAACAGTGTTTTGAGCGACGCGGACAAATTACCCATTTAGGTGTCCCTTTTGAATGATCTTTTTCTTTTTCTTTTTTCTTGGTGGGAGATTTCGATTTGGAGGGTTTGTGCTTATGGTAATGGAAAACTGTACCTTCTGATGATTCGTCATCGTAGGAGGTATCAGAAGGTTCATAATATGATCTTCTTCTCCCACCACGATATCGATGATACCGGTAGTCTTTTTCTCTCTCCATCTTTTCCAAATGTACTTTTTCCGCCTCTTTTCTTTCTTTCCTTGCCTCTTCTTGATTGCCTTTCTGAACCACTTTTCTCCACTCCCTGGTCATGAGATTCTCATCGACTCCCAACCCAGAAAGATCACGGATACTTTGGTGATACCAATCTTCAATTGGTTTTGAGACTTTCCAATCTTGAGAACTATGACGTTTGCGATAATGCTCTTCAACCATTGTCATGAGACGTTGCAGGAAGAGAACAAATTTAAACTGGTCTTTTTGTGGATCGAGAAGAAGATGATTCTTCCAGAGATGCAGAGTTTCATCGTGGGACCCATGATGGCGTGAATGATGGGAGGGAGGGAGGGAATCTTGTCGTAAGTAAACGCGTCCAAAGAAGGGCCATTTGTCGCTGAGTGAGGGGTTAGTTATGAAGTTATGGGGATAACGGGGGAGGTTGCAAATAGGAATGGACACAAGTCTTACCTAGCGGGATCGGGTAGAACAACCATGATTACAAATTGAATAAACTTCAAGTGACTTGTTCCGGAATCGAAGATCCAGGATAGAGAAACTGTCGTAATGTGAAATAAATAAACGAATTATTTCTAAATGAATGCTGATGAAGTATGCTTATTATTATGATGCAAATCTTCGTGATTACAAATGAATTTGAGGTGAATTTAATGCATAAAACAATCAGTACTCTTCCGCATACCTTCTTTTGTGACTTTCTCGCAGAGAAGTTCTAGAATAAGAGTAATTCTTCACTCGTGAAAAGAAAAAGAAAAAGTGGCAACTAATGACACTATGAATAAAGATGAAAAGCCATGCGACCCATTGCCATCATTATCAAATGGTCAATAGAGGTCTCTCGATGAATCATCCGGCCTATTAACCTGGAAAAAAAGTTGTTCGTGAGCAGAAATTGGTGAATGGGCGATTTTCGTATCCACAGTCGGCTTTTGAAATTTGGCGAGGTCGAATAGGAGGCCCGCAGTGTTGGTTTGAGTAACCCGCAACTAACCTACTTACAAGTAGAAGGAAAAATTAGAAATTGCGTAATATCAAGCTTTTCTTTTCGGAGAAAACACAATCACGACTGTCAATTGACATGCAAACCTGATGAGATAGAACGAGGTAGATTCCATGCATTAAATTGACCAACTAACATCTAGAAAGATGGGTCAATAGATACGGATTGCCATACAACTTGAGTTTATCATCACTTCAACTTCAAGAAACTGGCCTGAACAAAAGAAATCCAACAGCTATGGAACCTCAGATCAAACACTTGAAGCACTTCTTCGAGAGAGTTTGATCCATGGTAGCCAACAGAGCCTTCTTACTGTGTATGAAAAATAGATCCAATATGAGGGGTTTTGGGCTCTTTCCGAGCGCTCCGAGTATTCCATCAATTCCTGTGCTCTAGTTGCCCATTCTGCATCTTCATCCTTCTTCATTGCCTACAGTGTATTCTTGATGAATTTATCATATGCGTCCTGGAATATGCATACAAGTCGATCCGCATTGAGAACTAGAACATAAGTGGCAGCGGCAAGGAGATTAGCGGCAAGAAGATTCAGGTAGCTGAAGGAAAAATTGATACTCCATGCAAACTAACGAATTGTAAGCTGTGAAGTAGATTGGGTATTAAGAATGCCTATCTTACCGAACAAAATGATAGAGCGAGAAACAAAATGCTCATGAATGCCAATAGCTTGATATTTTAGTTGAAGCGAGTAGAATTTTGTGTTTCCATCAGTATACTCGTGCTGATAAGCTGAGACAAAAATATCAATCAGAGGGCTCTGTATATAGGATACATCACACATTTCTTGCATGTGGGAAACTTACTTCATCTCTGAGATATGTGGCTTCTTTCTGCTTGGTCTCCAGTTTCGATGCTATATTTTCTATATTTCGAAGCTCGCTACGTAACATGGCACGTACTCGTCGAAGTCCCTCCAACTCTTCTTCGGTCGTAGTTTCGCTCGTTTCTTGCCCTAATAGGTTTCGGATTTGCAAGACATTCTGTGATATACTCTTATGTAACTCCCTCAGCGTGGAGATGGCCCAAGAATAATTTTTGAATCGCGAAAGAACTTCTTCGTCAGAAAACACCTTTGCGTGATAATCCGGATCTAAGAATGCAGGCTTGTCACCAATAGATTGGTCGAAATATTTCAGTATTTGCTTCCAGCGATTTGCAGTCTCGGATATGGCGGTATACGCATGGGAGAATACGCAGAATAGCATATTTCCAGAACTAGTTTTTAGATCTTGAATACTATGACTTGTATAAGAAAATGTAGCAGGATTCGTTTCCAATAGCGTCCAATATTTGCTGTCGGAGATCGATGAGCATGCTAGAAAACTGGTGGCTTGTAACTATGAATTTGTGTAAGTAACAAATCAGAAACGATACTAATGGAGAGGAACTTCCCTTTATCCCCAGATGTACCCGGATGAGTCTATTTACTTACGTGGTATTAGCTCTCCAGTAATTTTCTTGTTACCAGTGCCGATGTACGACTTCCTGAAATATCATTGCTTTCGGTGTGTATAAACACCATTGTTCCAAAAATTCCAAGGAATACTTTCGATCTTTCCAACGGGTATTGTTACAATTTCATAGAATTTCAGATCCAAAGAATAACGATCTTCAAATCCCGAGCCAGGGTTTGGTATGCCCTGCTTCGACAAAACGGAGGAAACATTCAAGTCTTGCACCAGGCACCTTGACCTGGTCTCCGGAGCCCAAATTGAGCTTACAAAACATGTCAATAACACAGAGCTTTTCTTTGTAACATTGAGAAAGATAAGATTGGGGTAACCACGTACATAATTCTTCGCCAAGGACCAGACCATACCTCAGGTGATGGGGTACTACTACCAGACAAGCTGGTCACTTGATTTTGACTGTTGTAATCGATCGGAGATTTTGCGGTACTACCGCCTCCACTTATATTTGAAGCACCAGGGTCGATGGTATAAAACTTCGTAGTTTTATCGTCAAAAATATCCATAATTCTCGTTTTCCCTCCATTGAACCATTTCGGAACATCTCTATCTTCTTTATGGATTCCCTCTAACACTTTCAAGGCCGTGTCGCTACGCGGATCTATCAGCCATATTTCCGCAGAATAATAAACTCTCGAACCAAGTACGAAGATTAGTTGACGGGAAAATTTGGTACTTACGAACTTAATGAAAGGAGTGAGCGTTTTGAGAAAGTAAACTTGAGGCGGCCATCTTCACGAACTTCCCAAGCATTTCCTACTAATAGAGACCACCTTTCCTGTTCCTCGACAGTGCCTATTCTACTGGGCAAGCTCTTAACAACTCCGTCATTCCTTCTACGCTTCACTTGATCATTCTCATATATTTCGGATATTCTTACGCTAGGAAGGGGAAACCCTCGCGTGGAATCGTTTCGTGTGGAACCTTTCTTCTTAGGTAGGCTTAGAGTCTGTTTTTCTGTCAGACCAAGACGGCCGTGACGTAAGGCTTTGAGTTCGACGAGAATTTCTTCGAGTAAAGGGGTCATTGTTGTATTATCCTGGTTGATATTTGTAGTTTCTGCCATTTTGAAGTCAGAAAGGTGAAAACACACTTGCAGAGCGAAGATTAACACGTTTCTCGATACTTGAAGGTGTTTATTGATGTACTCAAGATATGGAGGACATATATAAATACAACATAGTCTTGTGCCATGAGTCAGAATTGTACTGTGAGTCAATAAGTCGAGGTCAATATGTCATGATTATTCGTATTCACTGTATTCATGGGATTTATTTAGAATCTTCGAGTCACTACATAATCACATATTACTTGAAAGTTGCCTAATCAACACCACTGTGATTATAAGACTCATAGACGTCAGACATTCTTCAAATATTAATGGCCCTAGAGAAACATCCTCTCTGATACGAATGAATATATATACAGCACTAGCTACGAAGGTGAAATATAATGTAAAGCAAAGAAAATTCTTCTTCTTGTCATGAGTAAAAAGGGGAAAGAAAGAACCAATGGGTAAACACTTTGGAACAACATGAAACAGAGTACAACGATAGTAGGTGCAGTCAAGCGATATCAACATGATGAAATGAATTTCTTGATAGATACTATGAGAAAGTTTCCGTCATTCAAAGTCGTCAAACATAGTAGATGATTGAATTAATGGACGAGATCATATATGAATGATTCGGAATGAGAAAGGAGCTAACAATCAAGTGACTTGAACTCACAGTCTAATGTTCTTGATAGGCTAGAGAATACTCATACTTCATAATATCCGATACCTCAAAGCAAACCAATGAAGTTTATTCGAGCAAGTAAGTATCAGGCAACTACATGTATTATCTAGACTTCAGTTTAAACACCTTAGATGCAATCATAACTTACTTTCACAATACGAGACTTGACGCAATTATAGCACTATATCATTCAAATCTACTACAGATGCTAGATGAGAACAGATATCTGATTGATATCAGCTGGAATCAAGATTCAACAGTCCATGATTCAGTCCAGGTTTAATTCTATCTAATGTATTATCTACTTTTCTTCGCACGACTCTGAACTGATCAGATTATATCAGCTCTCCCAAGATATTCTTTTGAGTACTAGAAAGTTGTAGACTACAGTCTAACTTCTATATGTGGAATTTCTCCTCTGTCGAACTTGGCATATGATCGATATCAACTAGTAAACGAGCGAGTATATATATCTGATATTGAATCTATAGATAAACTACAGACATTTCAATCGCATTCCAAAGGGAAGATAGTAAGTTAAATTATACTGTACATAGATTTTTTAGAGCTCTCATCTCTGGAAGTACAGACATAAAGGGGAAATCCGTCTACGTTTCCTCGTCTAACGCTAAAGGACTTCAAGATCATTATGATATACTAAAATTATTTTCCATGACCTCATCTACTACTTCCATCAGCATCATACTATGATTAGGATTGCTATAGAAGCAGTCCACTTTCTCATTTGATTATTTAGTTTCATGATAGCTGTGGTAAGAATTTCGGTATCGTGAACACATACTGTAAAATTGGCTTGCATCGCCCTCAACCCCTAATTGATTTCCTCAAGTACCTATGCATTCATCTCAAACACACAAAACTCGAACAACCTTTCCTTCTTTCCATCTCTCAACATCAGCCATCAAATCATCACAATCCTAATCCCACCATATCAAGCTATCTAGCCCAAGTATCACCCCTCAACCCATATTTCCCACTCAAACAACAACAATGACTCACTTCCGTCGTAATACAGAGTGATATAGATGGCTTCCTCCTTACACGCTGTCTAAATTTATTCTATGCAATGTATACCACGAATCATAGTTGCAATCACAACTACATTCAAAACATCAACTTAATCACTCATTACATCTAGCGAATAAGGTAGTATGACTTACTATTATAATTACTGATATCAGAGCATTTTTATTACATCAGTGAACAATTACACCGATCAAATCTGGAATTCCTTGTACACAAGTGTTCAAATATAAATATACCTAAAAGTTTGAGATACCTCTACTCCAACGTCAAAAAAATTTCAGCCCACGAAAGATATCAGACTCATTCCTTCCTTCCCCTCAAGCGAAGAAGCGAGTGATATAAACGAATCTCAATCATGGAAGGAGAATCCGGCAACCATTGTGACTACTCCAGATTCCAGAAGCCCAATGGGATACATCTAAAGCCATCGATCTTCTCCAGATACACAAATGCAGATTATATATTATCGATTGTATACTTACTTTTGCAAAGCCAGTAAACAAACATATCAAAGATCCAATTCTCTACCGCTTCAGCTTTTCATGACTCTCCCTCCCTTAGTCTCCTCTCTTTCCTGCCTCCCCTCCTATCTCAAGCCCAAGTAGGATATACGTATCATGTCCTATCCACCTTCAATCTCCTCAATCCCCATCCTATACAGCTTTCAAAAATCATACTTGTATTTAATCTCTCCTCGACAGAATTTTTCACATAACCGTCACATCATCCATATAATATCAGTTATACAGAATCTACCACCATCCATTCGTCCATCCAACCCCCCTCATAATGTCTGTCTATTAATATATTACTTATAAAACCCCTTCCTGTCCCTCCCTCTGTTCCCCCCTCAAGTTATAATCAATATATCCTACGATCCCTCTAAATAATTTAAAAACTCATTTATTCAGCCTTTTCGTTCTTCATTCTTGACTCCCATTGCTAGGAAAGAGAAGAAGAGAAGAGAGAAAGAGGAGAGCTTCCAAACACTATACTACAAGTACAGTTCAAAAACGAAAAAGCACATGTCTTTACGACAAGATATCTATCTCCAGTAATAAAGTACACAATACAAAAAATCACACAGCACCATACCCATACCCATACCTCTTACAATTTCAATCATAACAACAACAACAACAATCGATAACAAGTCTACCAGAAACCAAGTGAGAGACAACGAGTCAACCAGAACGAGTTAAATTCCCAGGATCCGCTCAAACCGACATGGAAATCAATCATTCAAGTTCAAATTTCAACTTTCGGATACTATTCATTTATTCACTACACCCCAGCCCTAGATAGCAAGCACGCACGCATCAACATATCCTCAATCAGCCTTACGGGGAGAGAATTGAAACATCACAACCAGTATAGCATATACGATATAGCATCCAGAATGGCATTCATCACTCATGAACCCTTATTGATCCATCCACCCACCATCTACCGTCCACCATCCACTCAGTCCCTCCCTAAAAATAGAAACCACAGGACGAAAAAAATGAAATCTCCACTGAATCCCCTCTCCTCCGCCCCACCATTAACCAACCACACGCAACACTTAATTTTCTTTCCCTATTTTACCTTACCTTACCTTACCGCTATACAACGTATGTATCCGTCCATCTAGATACCAGTCCAGTCTGCCTCGCCTCGTCTCGTCTCGTCTCATCTCATCTCAAACAATGCCCTCTTGCTTGCTTCAGCTCAGCTGGGATATGAATGTTTGAGAAGCCCTGGAGAAAGTGGGGAGTGGGGATTATGGGATTATGGGAAGAATGGAAACTCGATAAGATACATTTTACAATTGAAGATAAAGTACTCTTCTTGACCGTACTGGTATAGCGAGGTTGAAAAAAGGAGCCATTAAAAAAGAGATAGGTAGTATAAACGCGGAAGAAATTCCTCCTCCGTTTCCATCTCTTGCTCATCCGCATACTTACCGCTGGTCCCCACCGGAATTTACCCATCGACTTTATATTTTGAAGGGATCCCCCTTGAAATTTGAAGAAGGGATGTTCGAGTATATACTCTGTATGTTGATATAATGACACCGACACAATTATACTCCATACCGGAACTTTCCTCCCTATCGAGTTTTGAGTTTACTACCTACTTAATCAGTAAATCCAAATATATGAAACGAAATAGTCTACAAGAGGATGGAATAACCGATTTGATATACCTAGTATTACAATCAAAACCATAACCATCCCTATCAAAAAAAGGAAAAAAGTCAATTCTGAAAAAGAAAAGAGAAGCGAAAGGTTAATCTCAAATTTGAATGATATAATTAGTATAACATGATATGATATACAAGACAGTACACACACACAATAGAAGTTCCTCTTCCTCTTTCCTCCCTCCTCCACCTTTCCTTCCACCTCCCACTCTAATCCACACCTACACTTACATACATCTATACCCCTACTTCTGCCGAGGAAAATCTTCTCTCTGTATAGAGTTTGAAGCAGAATTATTACTAGGAGTTGGATAGGTATACTAATACGTCTGTGCACAGCCACCACAGCACTCACTCAGTTACTTCACACATGGATACAACACCAAAAAGAAATCAAGAACGAAAGAAATCAAACAAAAAAACTTCCCGATCTAGTATTAATACATTTCCGATAAACCATCCCTCCTTATCCATCTCCTCCTGCGAATTCATATCTCACATCTTCATAATAAACACTACGTGGTACGTAGAGAGCAAGGCTTAGACTACACTACCTAACTATCTAAGTGACAATACTACGCGAGCTACGGTTTTTTTCTTTGTGAATTATTTATATTTATATTTAACTATATGGGTATGTGAACAATTGGATTGGGTTGGATTGGATTGGAATGGCGAGATGAATCGAAAAGATGCAATGCAATGCGATTCAAGTGCCGAGAGGGGATCTAGGGATCTAGGATGGGAGGGACGGGACGGGACTGACTCACTGACTAAGTGGGAATATGGATATCTGGATATATGAAATGGCTCGATTGGGATTGCCTTCGGGTTTTGGATCTGCATCTGGATCTGGAAGGAGAAGGGGTTTGATGTTTGATGAGTAGCGAGGATGGGATGGGATTGGATGGAGAGGAGAGGAGAGGAGAGGAGAGGAGAGAGAATTTCGGGGTTAAGCCAAGGGGCTCCTGTTTGTTGAGTGGTTTCTCATCTGGATTCTGAAGGTTTGGAGTTGTTGAGGGATTATCTTTGTGTATATATATCTATATATGCATGATTCGGATATGGAGTATGCAATGTGATAGGAAAATATGAGAGTATAGAGTATGAAAGGTGGTTGGTAGGTATCAGGAAAGAAAGAAAGAAAGAAAGAAGAAAGAGATATTAGTAAGTATATCGCATACAGCGTTCTAGATACTTACTTATTAGATATAATTCTTATACTTTATAGATACAAGGTAATTCTATATCAATCATGAACTCTTCTTAAGATTCTAGATTCAGATTTTCGATAGTAGATATTTAGTAAGTAAACTCCTCAAATAGATAGAGAGAGAGAGAGAGAGCTATTCTGTATTCCTTCGAGAATCTTCCTAGAATTTCCATAGATGAAGAATTCTAGATGAAGAATTCTAGATGAAGATATATATCGAGGTTAGATTAGATCAGATTAGATGGTGATATTTATTTATTTATCTATTAGTCTTGAAGTATGTATTGGATTTATAGTATCTAGTAATTGTATCGGTAATTATAATGTGGACTTTTATATATTGATACTGGAGCGATTTCTATCTACTTATTCATCTATCTAGGTATTTGTTATATGTTATCATCTTTCATCTTCCATTTTTTCATATCTACATAACACAGTTACAATACTCATACAATCCAATTACAATCCAATACATAAAAAACCCATACCATACTATACTATACATTTCACATTACAAAACAAAAGGAATCTCCCTTCCCCCCTCCTCCTCCTCCCCCCAAAAAACCCCCCAAGTGAATTGACCCAACCTAATCCAACCTACATTACTAGAAACTAGATCCATTTGAAGTAGAAGGAAAATGGAAGGAAAGTAGAAGGAAAGTGGACTAAACTAAACTAAAATCAACTAAGCTCATCCACCATACAAACTACCGTACTTCCTTTATAGTCTCGAGCATGTTTTACATACTTAGTTGTACTCCGTCGGTGTTTTTCGTTTTTCGCGAGGGGGTGGGGGATTAGATGAATATAGTGTAGTGTAGTGTAGTATAGTGAAACGAACGGTTAGTGTGAATGGTATGATAACGGGAATTACAACGGGAAAAAGAAAAGAAAGAAAAGAAAGAAAAGAAAATAAAGAAATTTTTTGATCGGAAGGAATATAACTCGATAAGATATTCATATTCACGTCCAATTCAAAGTTCATACCTAGTCATGCACAGTCATCCATGGATATTCACAATTAAATTATTCTTTTCTTCTTCACTACCTATTAGATATACCTGGGTAGTCATCACCATATCAAAGTACTCTAGTTAGTTAGTCTTCGAAGTTCGAGTTCAAGTTGAAGTTCGAAGTTCAAGTTTCAACTCGGACATTGTGAAGTATTTTTTGAGGGGAAATGTCATGTCACGTCACGTGCGATGCTTCGGTCCCGAAGAGAGCTTGGATCTAGAATGATTGAATAAGTGGATGGATCTTTGACGTTTTGATTTGATAGGCGAGAGGTTTACTAGTATTTGATTGATTGATTCATGCATTGATAATAATAAGTGTTTATGTATTTAGATTTTATTTCGGGCTCCTAGTATACAGGTATAGTAAGGGTTTAATTTTATGAATGTAATGGAATGAAAGTAACTTGAATAGGAAATATTCCCTTGGGCGCAGCATAGCACAGCACAGCAAGGAAAGAAAGAATCTGAGAGAGAGAGAGAGAGAGAGAGAGAGAGAGATATTGCCACGCGTTAGCGGCGTAATGATGATGGCTTTGTGGTGGGTGGGTGTGTGATGTGTATGTAGCGGGAGTATGGTGATGGTCTGGTTGGTGTGGTATGGTGTGTCTGGATTTGAGGAGTGATGTAGGTTGAGGGATGGGAATGGAGAGAAAGAGAAAGAGGTGGCTTTGAATATTTATCTGAGGTTTGTGTTATATACCTACTGATATGAAGTAATTACCTAGTTCTTGGGAGTGAGGGATGAATGATATCCATAATATGATATGGGATAGTAGGTATGGCTTGGAGGGGCTGTGTATATCGTACCGGTATCTCGTAGAGTACGAATTAAGTAAAATAAAAAATTACGAGAATGCGAGGATGGATGACATAAGATGAGATGATGAGAATGAATGGATTGGATGGATTGGATGTGATGTATGTGATGTGTGGTGTGATATAGAGAGCGCTTAGTAAGTAAGTTTTTATGTTTATGTAGGTACCTATCTACTTGTGGATAACTGGAAGGAAGTAGGTAGTATTGAGATGGTATGAGGAGGTTGTATGTATAGTAGCTATACTTATATATGTAGGAGTGAATGGGATATGAAGATTTGATAGCACTTTATATAATAAATCTCTATAATTATATGTATTTAGATCTAAGTAGGTGTAGTAATGAAATCGATATTGAAGTTTTGTTATATATATAACGTGGTTTATCAGTGAGTGGGTTATATCAGTGAATGGGTTATTTCGAAAACTATTTAAATCAAGCTTTTTAAAATATTAATATTTTAATAACTAATTATTATTTTCTTAAATAAAAGATTTTAAAAAATAATTAAAATCTAGGTTTTTTATTAATCTAATTTTTATAAAATAATTTTATTATACTTTAAAAAGAAAAGGAAATTGTTACGATTTTCGTTACAAAAAATCTATTTTTATAATAACAGCTTTATAAATTCAAATTTCTTAAAATTAATAAGATTTTTAATATTCTTATATATTGAAATATTTTATATTAAATTTTCAGAAAATTATATCTATAAATAAAGAAAGTACATAGTTATATATAAACAAATTTTATATATAAAATAAGTGATTCATTTACTAATATAACTTATTCACTGATAAACCACGTTATGCCAACTCGAAGAATTAGATAATACAAAATGGAGTTATATATTTATCTGAAGAACTAGATATATTTATATAGTTATATATATATATATATACATAGACAGATAGTAAGTATAAATAAAGAATAATAATAAAGATCTCTCTTTAATATCTGATTCATATCGAATTCGATACTTGGGATATAGTATTCAAGTGATAAGTACTCCTTCATTATGAACTACTAATATTCATTAACAATTCTATATCATTTCTCTTCTGATAATTTGACTGTATATCTACTTCGTAGTATTATATCACTTGTGTAGATGATCAGATATCTAATCAGTGATTCATTTGATTCTGTTCTCTTACTAGTATGATATGATGATAGATACTATACTATAAATGTAGTCATCGTCAACGAGCACGAATCCTTCATAGTGGTAATACTATTCCTTGAATGATTGATGTGAGATGATATATATTGGCTTATAAACTACTACAAAGTATAGTCAATTCATTCAACATCATACCGGTATACAAAGACCTACTCTCCTCCCCTCACAATACTCTCTACTATATCATCATATAATATTCAATCAATACCTCTTGATACCTCCTCATGCCTAGAATATCTCAAATCTCCAAACCAAAATCATGAAATCAACAATCAAAACTACCCAATCGAGATAGCAATTCTCTCACAGCCGATCCCCCGATCCCCGAGGGCTATTTAAATCAATGGAGGTGGATGCACCAATCACATCATCTGATTTGAATGATGAACGCGCGTTCACTTCATTTTCTGTTTCCCGTTTTTGATCAAAGCCACTGAGGTATGGGTAGTGAGTGGTGGTGGTGGTACTGGTGCGTGCTGGTACTGGTAATAGATAGATAGCACTGACATTGACACTTTGGATCTAGGTATGTATGATTCTTCCGTGAGAAGAGAAAGGAAAGGATGGATACCTAGGGAAGGCAACAATTTAGGAAGGGAAGAAGGAAGGGAAGAAGGAAGTGAAGAAGGAAGTGAAGAAAGGAAAGGAAAAGGAAAAGGAGGGGAGGGAGGGGAGTGAAGAAAGGAATTCAAAATTCATAATACATGATATATTACTAGTTAATACATTTTCCATTTCTTATTTCTGACTTCTCTTATTACTTTATTACACTTTAACGTTAATTATATGGAATTTTATATTTCATAACTTGATTGTATTATTGAATTATTTATTGTATGCTTTATATGCTTTACTAGGTATTCTTTATTATATATCCTTCTTTACTTGATCTCCTTCACATATCCTTCCCTCCGTACACTACATTAAACTACACTACACTACACTACGCCCCGACACCTAATCCTATCCTGGCTCATCTACCCATTGTCTAGTGTGTTTGAAAAAACAACAAAGTCCGATTCTTTTTCATCAATTACTTCAATTACTCAATTACTCGTACATCACATCACACCTCTTTAAAACTTCCTTCCATTTACTCTTCGAGAATATCTTCATTTATCTGGTTATCAATTGATTTATTCATCTCATTCATCAAGAACATTTCAAATCATCAAATCAAGGAAGAAAAGGAATTATCTCAAGGAAAAGAAAGAGAGAAAGAAAGGCTTTCAATATCATCGTCGTCAAATCGAATCCGAATCTAACAAATCAATCAATCAATTCATCCATCACTCACTCACTCACTCACTCACTCACTCACTCACTCACCACTTCAATCACCATCAATCACTACCTCTTCAACAATCATGAAGTCCGAATCATTAACCTCAACTCCTCAAGTCAGTTGTTTAGATCCTCTCGAATTAATCGATTATACCGAATATGAAACGGTATCATATCATTCACCCTCTCTCTCACCATCGTCTTCCAAATCACAATTCGTCCCACCCTCCATAAGATCATCCGCAGTATCGACTCCAACCACATTACCTTCATCAAATCAACCAACGCTTTCCGGTCCCAGTCATCAATACGATCTCTACAGACAACAAACGGGTATTCCACAAGGGGCCATCGCAAATACCTTGGCCGTCAATGAAAACAATGGTCACATCAACCGATACAACTTTCAAGATCCCTCATACTTCTCGGCCATGAGTCCAAGTGAAGAATTTGTGGATTTTGGCACGACTCCATCTCGTACCCCATTCCACCCATCAGACGTGGAAATGGAACAAGATCCAGCCTTCTTCTACCCCGAACAAAAGTTTGTGGACCCAAGCAATATTGGATCTCAAACCTTGCCCGTCGGAAACGTACTGCCAACACAATCTAGTCACGTCGGTCGTCTTTGGCCGGGTATGCATCAACAACAAGCTGCTCTTGCCAAAGCTCAAGCACAACAAAAGCAACAACAAGCCATTATCGCACAACAACGTCAAAATGCTATGGCGGCGAACGGACAACAACAAAGACAACCTCAACCACAACAACAACGCTCCAGAGCACCCACGGGTACCGACCCTCTGGTTGAGGAAAAGATTTCTCAATTACTCAACTCGATGAGACAAAGCAGTGTCGTGACTGATGGTGATGATGGAAATTCTCAGAATATGACACACGTTCATCGCATGCGAAAGGAAGAAGAAGATATGGATGAAGATGAAAGATTATTGGCGAGTGAAGAAGGAAAGAAGCTTAGTAGCAAGGAGAGAAGACAACTTAGAAATAAGGTGTCAGCTCGTGCTTTCAGATCAAGAAGAAAGGGTAAGCACAGTGTGACATCGAAAATGGTTCTAATACTAACGTTCTTTAGAATACATCAGTCAACTCGAAGGAGAAATTGCTGTCAAGGTTAATGAGAATATGGATTTGAAGTCGCAAAACAGAGCTTTGATGGAGGAAAATACTCGTCTATCAGATCTTACAAGAATGCTTCTTTCTTCACCTGCGTTCTCTGGTTTCCTCGACACTTTATCTTCCAACCCAGCGACTCAACAAGCACCACCTCCACAACAACAAGCTCCTATTCAACATGAACAGCCAAGACAAGTGAGAAAGGATGTTAACCCATATGGTGCTCAACAACAGATGCAACAACAACAACAACAACAACAACAACAACAACAACATATTGGTATGGTCATGATTCCAGAACAAGCGATGGATTTTGCTATGCTTGATATCAATGCCGACGGATTTGGCTATCAACCACAAGTTTATTCCGTTCTTTCTATCCCAGAGACGGTTATCGATTCATCAATCCTCTCCGGAAAATCCTCAAACCTCGTCGATTCATTACAATCTGAAGATGAGAAAGTAGAACTTCCAATTGTTGAACGTCAACCAGTTCATGAACTTGCACCATCAGCTATTGTTGAGGAGATTGTTGATGAAGAATTTGATGCCGATCCAGCATTTGCTCTTTTCGCTGAAGACACCTCATCAACTTCAGCACCTTCAACCGAATTCAACTTCGATATCGATTTCTCTACTCTTGGCCTCAACAAACCTTCTCAATTCGAACTCGTCGTTCGTGATATTGAAAGCGAAAAATTAGTTTCAACTAATGCTTTCAATAGAGCAACTAGGTTATGTAATAACTTGGACTCGATGATGGATAGATTAGAAGCAATGTTCATGTAAAGGGGTATTGAGTAGAGAGGATAAATAAAGGAGAAAAATCTTGCATTTGTTGCTGCGGTTTAGCGTTTCTTTTGGGAAGTCTCGACAATTTATTATATCTTCTTTTGTTTGTTGTTTCTTAGTTTATATATTTTATCTTTTTCGTTTATTACCTGGTGGGATTTTTTGGTTTGTTTGTTAGGGGATTTGGATCGGTGCGCTGGTGAGGCTTATTTGTGAAGGATGAAATGGATAGAATGATAGGAGAGGGGAAGGATAGGGAGATGGGGTTGGGCTAGGCTAGGTTGGGCTCACAACAGAGATGAACACATCTTTATTCTTGAGATGAAGATGAGAATGGGAATTCGAATGTTTGACCTGGGTTGAATGGAATTGAATAGGATGGAATGGGATGGGATGGGATTGAGGGAGGAAATAGCAATAGTATATTGATATAGGGATTGATTTGGATAGAATAGGAATTTTAAGTATTACGACTATATACTTTGTGCTTGATTGACGTTGATACTTGTGTTTGTGTACTTGCTTGATGAATGTATTGTGTACTTTTAAGTTTTCTTATATGGGATAGATATCATATCCTATTCTAGTGTGCCCTCCTTACTTATTAATCCTATAAATTCCCTCTATGAATTTCATCACTCACCATTATCACTATCGTTTTCATCTTTGTTACCAATTTTTTTATTATATTCATATATTCATATCTTGTATCATTATCCTACTCATCTCGTATCATTATCCTATTCATTATCCTATCCTATTTATTATCCCAATCATCAATCATTATTCATTATTCATCATTTCTCATCCCATTTATATTTATACATACATACCATCATACCATCATACCATCATACCATCATGTCATCATGCCAATTTATCTACATTCTTGAGCTCCAATTCTCGTTTCGTTTCGTTTGATTTCGTTCGTTCTTTATTTATTCATTCATTCATTCATCTCATATTCCTCCCCTCATAATTTCTTCCCTTCCCTTCCCCTCTCATCTTCTTCATCTCCATTTCCATCTCCATCTTATTCCCCTCCATTCATGACCTTCAACACCCCCTACCACTTTCCCATTCCCATTCCCTCGCCCAACCCAAAAACCAAAAACCAAAAACCAAAAACCTAAAACCCCTCCGCAGCTTCACTCAAAACCTCCCACAACCCCGCCGCCGCACCCCCCAAACCTCCACCTATCCCCGCCGCCGCGAGATGATCACGCCATTTACTCGAACTCGAACCCAAACTCGTATTTGCACTCGGCGTTCCCGAATTTTGTCTCCGTGGCTCTGAAGAGCGGGGATCTGCATCGCGAGAACGGCGGGAGCGGGAGCGAGAATGATGAGAGTGAGAGTGAGAATGAGAATGCGGAGAGCGGGAATGGGAATGAGAATGAGAGTGAGATTGATGGCGTCGGGAGTTGTGGGGGGTATAGGAAGGATTGGGCGCATATGTAGGTGAGGAGCCGGACGGAGATGTAGAGTAAGGAGCGTAGAGATTTGGTGAGAGATATTGATTTTGATTTATTTGTGGGGGAGGTCCTTGTCCTTGAGGGTAAGGAGGTTGAGGAAATTGATTTGGTGTTGGATAGGGGGGTTGATGCTGTGGAGGTGGTGGATATCCTTGTTGGGAATAGTTTTGTTGTCCGGGAAAAGAACCCAGAGGTGCGTATCCATTTGGTGTTTGGTTTATTCCGGGTATTTCCATACCTCTTCCTGGAAGTGAATTATTCGATGCAGAATATGGTGAGGGGGAGAAATGTTGAGGCTGAGGTTGGGGTTGTGATTGAGGAGCAAACGTATAATTTGCTTCACGATCTCTTTCTCTGCGATTATATCTTTCCGATCTTCCCTTTCTTTCTCTTCTTTCTCCCCTCTCTTCCCATTCGTCACCTCTTCTACCGTTTCCTCTTGCATCCCCATTTCTTTTCTCACCACGTTTTCTATGCTCATTTATATCTGAATCTGAATCCGAGCTCATCTCCGAACTAGAATCAGAACTGCAAGAAGAACTCTCCTCATCCTCTGAGTTTCGTCTTCTACTTCTTTCACTGCTTTCCCTCCTCTCCCTTCTTTCTCTCTGCTCAGGGTGATTTCTCCACCAACGCTCTTCTCTCAAAACATGCGAGCGCTCAGCATATTGTTGAATTTCCTCTTTTGTGAGAATTCCTAAGATAGCTACGAATTCTGGTCGACTAATTGTAGACATTTATTAGTATCACAAATATTATGTCATATTTGATCACATAGTTTTCCTGCTAACCTCTTGATATCTATGACATATATTATGACATATGTCCTGAGAATAAAAAGAAACGAGGGATGACTTACGCTTCAAATCTTCTCCCGTCTTTCACCAATACTTCTGGTGATATCAAAGATCGTTTTACTTTTGTCCATTTTGCATCTTGAGGGATTTCATGGCCAGATGAATCTGGTGCAATTTTTGACTTGAGAATGGAAGTAGGAATGGGAATGGGGATCGTGGAATCGTGAGGATTATTTCCACTACTAGGTGTAGGCGTGTGGGTTTTTGATGATTGGTTGGCATCAGGAAGATCGAATCGAACACCGCTTGTTCGCGGTGATGATTTCTGGACTGGGTCCGAGCTATGTTTTGGTCGTAGTGTCATTTTTTTCAATTCAGCTTGTGATTGTATGTGTTCGTTGGGAGATTCATTGAGATATGAGTTTGAGTATGATTTTGAATTCCAACTTCCTGGAGAAGACGGCGGAAGAAGTTGAGAATTACTTGTTGTAAAGCAAGGAAGCAAAAGAAGATCCGAGGTTTGAATTATTGAAGTATTATTATGATTCGAATTAACTGGATATCGTGATATCGTCTGATGCCCCGATGACGTATTATCCTCAGAGTTTAATTTTGAGCCGCTAATATCCTTTCCGCAATGGGATTCTGAGATATCGAGATCTGTGGTTGAGATTTTGGGAGTTAGAGGAGGTGATAATTGTCGATGAGAAGTTGAGGATATATTTTGTCCAGGATATGGATATGAGTCGACGAGAGATTCGGGTTTGGGTCTTTGAAATTTCATCGCCGGAGGGAATTTTATATTGTCTTCTCTTTGAATCATTTCTTTTGCTCCAGGGTCATTGCGCCCTGAATTGATATTGGTATTATCGAATGAAGCTGGTGCTACTTGTGCATGAGGTGATTCGGAATGTGTAGAGTCCCATCGTCCTTTATGAGAAGTTCTTGGACTGGTTTGAGGTGTAGATGCAGATGGATTTTCGATTAGTAGCCCATCTTGTTCCATTTGTCGTATATATGCAATTAGAACATCCTATAAGTCTGTTAGTAAGAAGCAATTATCCTACCACATGAAAATATCCAAATACCTTATGTCGTTCCAAAACCACTCTATTGACCCCCTCTCCAACTAGATTCCTCCTAAACCATTTCCAAATCTGCAAATTATCCTCCTCATCCTCATTCTCAGAACCCATCATTTGTAAAGTCCCAACCCTTCGACTCCTATCCGCTGCGATATCATCCACCTTATCCAACAACATATCCAATTCGCCCTTCCCGTCCAACCCTTCTGTGCCGCTTGCATCTCCACCTTCCTCTTCGTCAAGGAGCGAATCGAGAAAATGCGATATATTCTTCTTATGCGAAATCAACCTCACTCGAATCCCACCCAATTGATCCATCTCATTACTTCCCAGCCTTCCACCTCCATTTCTCCCATACCTCCCCAGCAATCCATCAAGTTGTCTAAGGGTCCCCTCACAATCCCCGATAATCCCCTCCACACGTTCCCAATTCCCCTCATCCCACTCCCCATTCCTCTCTTCCTCCTCTTCCTTCAACTCCCTCACAACCCCATACAAACCCTTCACTTCCCGTCGAATCTCCTCATATTGCGCACCCGCCTCTCTGCATTTCCGATACACATCGCGACAAAGTATCGATGCTTTTCTTATATCTGATGATGTTCCCACACTCATTTCGTTTCTCATTCCGCGCTCAATATTCGACTTCAAATATGCAATTCCAAATTTTCGAATGTCGCACTTCGATGTCGCAATCGATTCCAAGTTTCGAGAAGGCGAGGGAGAGAAAGAAGGAGAGATCAATTATAAACCCATCCCTTTGATCAACCCAAAAAGTGGCAAAGCAAAATAATTAATCAATCAAATGAAAATCAAGATACGAGTAGATATGCGAGTGTGCGTGTGTGTGTGTGCGATATGATGTGTTGTACTCTCTTCTTGCTTTCAATTACTTTGCTCTGCTGCAGCGAAGTGGATATCTTTTTCTTTCTTTCTTTCTTTCTTTCTTTCTTTCTTGCTGAGTTCTCTGTCTGATAACCTATGATGAAAGCTCCGACGTAACGAACCACTCCACTTTATTATACCCCGCAATATTTTTCTGGTCGAATTCCCAGATTTCTAATCGTGATGATTGTATTGTGCCGAGTTTCGAGTCCTGAGTTGCGAAGTTGGGGAATTCGTATCGATATATCCGTATTTGTTAATGATGACTCGAGAAAGTACTTGGATATAAAATACAGCTTCAAAAATACAAATTCACAATCACAATAGTTAATATAATTCACCCAAATTCATTACTCAGTACACAAACAAACCCGAGACCAAAAACTGAATTAAGATGGAGAATCTCGTAAGTTTCAGATTAACAAACATCCCTTAGAAGCTGCATAGAAGAATAATCGAAGCCATCAATCGAGGCTGAGCTGAACGAATGGGTACCGGTAGAATAGGTAACTGTTTAAGAGATCTCTCTAGAACTACCGCTTGCCTTGATGAACCATATCATATCATATCATATCATATCATACCATACCAGATCCAGAAACCGATAATCATATTCCAATCCGTTCATCCATCCATCCATCCATCCATCCATCCATCCATCCATCCATCCATCCAAGATTCCAAGTGACGTCGCGGGAACGAACATCCATCTCTCTCCACCTATCCTATCCGTCTCTCCGTCCATCCATGAACCATCCCTCCCTTTACTATTTACCCAATCCTTTGTGGCGCAGTTCCCATCAACCCATCAACCCATCAACCCATCAACCCACAACGATCGCCGCAGTGTCGCACCCACTGCGTAACAAAGGCGTGAGGCTCAGATTAAGGCTTATACAATTCGTATCCACTGCACGCGTGCGAACAGCAACGCTGAACCGAGCACCCTCTACCTATCATGCCGAGTTACCGCATCGTGTTGCAGATAACAGAGAAGTGTGGAAGATGATAGGTTCGCTAAAATATCCTTTGACACATTTTTCTTGCCGGTGCATTCAGGTTGCATGAAGGCTTCGGGAAAAGATGCTAGAACATATGGTAGGTAATCAATTATCAATGGGTGAGATAGATGTGGAGTGCAAGGGAGGGCAGGGCAGAGCAAGCCAGGGGAGGGGAACTCCGAAATCATGTCATGTGAACACTGTACTGGTAGTGTAGATAAATTTCGTACGAGGTCAACTTGGTACGACATATATGGTATAGTATAGCATGAGCAAAAGAGTTTCTTTGATTTTATATTCTCCCGACCAATCAATCAACAATATCATTAAAATAATAGACCCTTCATCTTCAATGCTATTCTCATACTCCTTACAAAACAATTCTTTCTCTTGTATATTTTCCCACTTGTCTACTCAAAAGTCTTCCAATATCTCTCTTACTTCTCTTTTGGATTTCTCCTCCTGCACCTACACGAAGACGAGAAATCTGTTTCTCAGCCTTGAGTCCGATGGGCAATATCGAGAGGTCTTTTTCTCCAGAGGGAAGCGTTAATATTGACTTTGCCATTCGTCCTGTATCTTCATTGCCAAGGGTTTTAAGTACGGAGTCCCCGTAACGGACCATCTCGGATGTTAACCCCTTGAGATAAACGGCCGTTTCGATGCCTTCGAGTGCGGCACTAACTTCCATTTTCAATGTTCCAATGAATGCTTCGGATTCGGATTGATCACCATTGATCAGTCTTGCATTTCCAGTTAACCATCCACCTGCTGCAAGAGCATCAATACAATTGTTGAGTAAGCTGGAGATGAGAATGATGGAGTTATCAGGTGCTTCAACTTCGTCGTCATCTAGTTCCAAGATATCAAGGTATCGACCTGTCCATCCACCTTTGGCCAATTCGACTCTCAAAATATAGATTAGTGATACCGTCTCTTGACTTGTAAAAGCTGTCTGTAAAGCTTCCGTAATGTTGTTGTCTGGACATGTATAGAGTTTTGAGAGAGCCACATTTAAGGCTTCACCTCTGACGCCTGAACCTTCTCCTAATTGAAATTCGGCGAGTTGGAGATCATCTTCTGCCTCGGCTTCAAGTCTTTGTACTTCCTCTTCAGCATTATCATTTTCTAGGGATGCTTCTTCCCCATTTGTCAGTAATGCTTGCTTTGGACTCGAAGAGTCTCCGAGTTCAAACAAATCCATAGTTTCCATTAAGTTTCGAATCGCGTGGAGAAGTTCCGCTGCTCCAAGTAGATTGGATGAAACAAGATGGAGTAATAATTCCATTTCCCGGTCCAGCTTAACGATCGCATTGACAAGTTGGCCAGCTGGTATTGGGCCAGAAAGTGAGGCTCGAATCTCTTGTCTCAATGCTGATTCGATATTAAGAATCGTCATGTTTCCTGTTTGAAGCAACCACCTGAAAAGTCTAGGAGGATAGAAAACAATAGAAAGCTCATACATTCCTTCCAGATTCTGAGACCAGCTAAAAATCTTACTTAGTGCATATAATATCCATCTACGATCGACTTCAGAAGGCTCTATCTTCGCAATCCTGTCTGCAGGATTTTCGGACGTTTCGGTGCTCCAATCTTGGTCGAACTTACTGCCTAAAGCCTTCTCAAAAGCTGCAGTATCTCCACTCTTGACACATCTCTCAGGCTCTCTCGTCATATTTACCCATGCATCTTCTTTCATGCCCATTGACCCAGGAAGATAATGATCCACAAAAAGCCACTTTCCATGCGATGGCTCCTTTCCGGGCTTGGAACGTACAACCTGTGGGTCCGAGCAACCAAGGGAATCGATCAATAGTCCAAATGCTCGAGATTTTGAACCTTGACCAGGTTGAAAATCCACTTGAACGGCAACGAGCTCATTATCTGAGATAGCTAACGCTGTCCCAAGTTTAGGGTAGTAAGAGATGAATTGAGCAGGCATATCCAATCGTGGTCTCTGCTTATCATCAGAGTCTCGTTTGCGTTTGAGTGATTCTTTGTTTGTCTCATCATCCAACTTGATGGTTGCTAACACAGACTCATATTTTGGGTTGAGAATGCTAATAGCTTGTTGAGTTGACATGATAATAGAAGTGCTTGAAAGGCGGAGGAATGAACCGGTACCAGGAGTGTTGATTTCGGATTGAATCCTTGGGAACGTATCATGTAAATCCAAGGTTGTCAACACTTCCGCTTCCAGTATTTGCAAAATACCGGCGGAAACATTGATGCCGAATGAAGCTTTTCCGATCGTCACCTTCTTCTTAGGAGCTTTATGAATTGGTAGAGGGGCATCGAGAAGAGATTCGACAGAATGTGTTGCGCCATTCAAATAGGTCGTCGCCTTCCTTGGTAATGCTACAATGTGTAGTGTACGCACACTATCCCCAGCTTCCTGCACATTTGACTTTGTAATCACGATTATTATGTCTGGATTAAAGCCATCCTCGGTCACTTCTTGTGGGAAAAAAGCAAAAACATCCTGGCGACCTTTCAAGATTCCTTGACCAGCGGAATAGGCATTTGTGATGTGCGCATATTCTACCTCGATGTTGGTCATTGTCATTGATGAAGCTCGACCGAGGGCGGTGGCAGGAGAGGACCATAATAGCTGAAGACTTTCACCATCTAAGCATTGAATCTCACCATCTTTCTTCACAATCAATATATCCGACTTTTTGATCGCATCCAATCCCGAGGATGCCAAAGCACCCAAATGAACCACTGGCGCTTTCGATTGACTGAGCTTGTGTGTGACTGTTGTAGATTGCGATGTGCTAGTCCCTTCCGTGATATCATGGAACAATGTGATTTGATCCTCAGAGCCGGACGTCGAAACATATGTTCTTCGCTCGGTTTTGGTTTTCGTCGTTTTCGACCTGGAAGAATATGGCGGGCAAGAAAATGAAGTACCAGGAGGCAGAGCGTAAGAAGTAAGTAATTTCGATGATGATACCTGAGAAGATATTAACGTTTGAAGACGCTCAAAAAATAACTATAATATCTTACATCATATAAATTCACGCCTTCTCCATGAATTCCTACCGCCAATTCTGACCTCTTTCTTTTTTTTGATCCAGGTGAACCACCAAAGACCTCCCCAACTACATATTGAGCCTGTTTCGATCGCGGCAAGGTAGCGACCACGTATGGCTGCTGTAAAGATATTCTTGACGACATATTGACAATTGGAATTTTTGCGCAATCAATTCCAATTTATTGAAGCAGTGATTATAGATTTGCGCAAAGTAAAAAGAACCAAAAAGCTTTGAAATTTCTCTGAGCGGTGAAATAATTCTGCCGTGGCATAAAACTTTATGTCGTGGAGACTTTGCCAAATTTATTATGCACACCCTGCACACTTTAGCGTGTCTGTTTGGTGTTGATCATGTGATTTTGACCATCCTGCACTGTAGGAATCACCAATCACCAATCACCAGTCACCATTCAGCACTCAAAAACGCGAGCAGAAGACTGTCAAGTGGGTCTATATGGTATGTTCTTATTGTTCTTATCGTACATGCATCGTAGATGGGGCACTCGTGCATCCAGAAAAATCATACATTGAACTTCCTTCTCATCAGATACCTATCTTTTGATATCGAAGAATAATGCGAAAATGAATCAAAATCCAAATGCTCTTGATTGTGTATCATACTTCATAAGCTTAGGAGCATTTTCATACAAGTCTCAACATCAAATATCGACAGCATGATTTTATATTGATTATTGAAAAAGGTAAATGGTTTTCAAAGTACTTCATCTACCTATCACCTATGGGGCCCAGAGTAGACCAGTAGTTAAAGTGCTAATTTCATCCAAACGCGAACGCGGTTCTCAACTTCACCTTGATGTCACTACCTTATTACCTAAGTACTTGGCAACTTTTGGATGCACATCGCTTTTCACTTCCAATTACTTTTCACCGTCTGCAAAAGTGCACTTTTTTATATTCTCTACCTGTTCTCAAGTCAAGCTTCTTACAAAAATTTACAAATGTTTTTCTATTCCTTGACGACTTGATTGATTGAGAATCGCCATCGTTGAAAACGAATGTGCGAGGTTCGCGTTTGA